TAGAGGATAGAGAAGTTTGCTTGTTCCTACTCTGCTCTCACAGACCCAGAAAGTAACTCAAGATAGAAGCAGGTGACTCAGAGGTCTTCTTCAGCATAGAACAGAGGTATATAGCCTCTTTGGCAACACAAAATGACTCGAGGTACAATGACACAATAGCCTAAAGCTTAGATGACACCTGCCATGCTGTCAAGTGTTTGATATCTGAAATATGTCACAAGGTCCATGGAAAAATAGAATTAAAAGGTAAATTGTGTGTCACCGAAATTGAAATCCATGTATCATCTTTTCATAATTCATATTTCCATGAACTTACTGAAGTAGCCTAGGATGTATATATGTTTTTAAACATTTATTTTATTTTAAAATTTTTATTGGAAAGGTGGATATTCAGAGAGGAGGAGAGACAGAGAGGAAGATCATCCATCGGATGATTTATTCCTCAAGCAGCCAATGGCCGGAGCTGAGCCATTCCAAAGCCAGGAGCCCAGAGCTTCTTCTGCGTCTCCCACGTGGGTGTAGAATCCTAAGGCTTTGGGCTATCTTGAACTGCTTTCCCAGGTCACAAGCAGGGAGCTGGATGGGAAGTGGGGCTGCCAGGATTAGACCTTGCACCCATGTGGGATCTCAGTATGTGCAAGGTGAGGACTTCAGCTGCTAGGCTACTGTGCGAGACCCAAGGGTGTGTATTTTTAATGTTAAAATAACCATAGTAGATAAATGCTATTATTTTTTACTTTAAAAAAATTATCTGTTATTTTTATTTTAAAAGTAGTTACAGAGAAAAGGAGAGACAGAGAAAAGGAGGGGGATATTCTATTGTAAATGGCTGTAATGGCTAGAGCCAAGAGCCAGGAACTTTGTTTGGGTCTCCCATTTGGGTGCAGGGTCCCAAACAATTGAGCCATCCTCTGCTGCTTACCAGGCCTTAAGCAGGGAGCTGGATCAGAAGTGGAGCATCCAGGACTTGAAGGGATGCCAGTGACAGAGCGTAAGTTTAGCCTACTGTGCCATGGTATTGACTCCCTATTATTAAATAACTTTTTTAGAAAGGAAAGCTGGGGGCTTAGCACAGTAATGTAGCAGTTGAAGTCCTAGCCTTGCACGCTCCAGGATCCCATATAGATGCTGCTTCTAGTCCCAGAGGCCCCACTTCCCATCCAGCTCCCTTCTTGTGGTCTGGAAAAGCAATTGAGGATGTCCCAAGGCCTTGGGCCCCTGCACTTGCGTGGGAGACCCGAAAGAAGCTCCTGGCTCCTGGCTTCGGTTCGGCACAGCATCGGCTGTTTAGGTTACTTGGGGAGTGAATCATCAGATGGTAGATCTTTCCCTCTGTCTCTCCTCTTTGTAGATCTGAATTTGCAATAAAAAAAAAAAAGAATAAATCTTAAAAAGTTAAATTCCTTGGGCAAGGCTACGTATGTGATGATTATCAGGATTGCCATTTTGGATCCACTTTCGACTCCAGAGATCATGTTCTTAGTTATTAAAGTATGCCATCTCCTGGTGGAGCCCTGTGCCTTTCTTTCCCAAACAGGGCCGTGTGAACCACAGGAAATAGAAAGTGATTGGAATGACTACATTCGCGGTTTTGCCTTAATCGTCATGACTGGTGCCATGTATCGGAGTAGGGCCTTCATGAGGACCAGTGGATGTCTTTTAGCACCTGGGCTTAATTCTCAAGGAAACCCAGTTAAGAAACACTAAGTTGGCCACAGTTTACATGTCAAATTTCTACAGAAATATCTTAGAAATAACTTTTTAAGATTTTGTTTCTTTACTTTTTAGTGGAAAGTCAGATATACAGAGAGGAGAGACAGAGAGGAAGGTCTTTTGTCTGGTGATTCACTCCCCAAGCTGCCACAGTGGTTGTAGCTGAGCTGATTCAAAGCCAGGAGCCAGAAGCCTCTTCTAGATCTCCCAGGTGGGTGCAGGGTCCCAAGGCCTTGGGCCCGTTTTTGACTGCTTTCCCAGGGAGCTGGATGGGAAGCGAGACTGCCAGAATTAGAACCAGTGCCCATATGGGATCCTGGTGTGTGTAATGCAAGGAATTCAGCTGCTAGGCTAGCACACTGGGCCTAAGATTTATTTATTTTTGTTGGAAAGTCAGGTTTATAGAGAGAGACAGAGAGAAAGATCTTCCATCCACTGGTTTACTCACCAAATGGACACTATGCCTTAGCAAGCCAATCTGAATAGGGTGACCAGGTAATGCTATAATGGGAAAGTAATTGTTGCATAGAAACCTTTAGGAAATTAACATTTGAGCTGAATGGATATCTAAAGGAAGAGATTTTGGCTGTTGATGTAACTTTTAGAGTTGCAATGTATATGCGTTTACAACTGTGGTACTAGAAGAACTCATCAAGAGTGTGAGTGAGTATACGCAGTCTAGAGGCGGGTGACTGGAGGCGGGTGACTGGAGATCTGAGTTCCAGAATTGTAAAGGAACCAGCAGAGGCAATGCGTCACAGACCAACAGATCAGAAGAAAATCCCTCACTTTAAATTATTGAATGAGAGAAAGAGAGAAAGAAAATCAGGAGAGTGTGATACCCTGGAAGCTCTGGGGAGAAAGCATTTAACAGAGCAGCTGTGTTAAATGCTGTTGATAGACCAAATGAGATGAGGACTAAGAATTAATTGACAATTCTTTGTAAATCATATAGGCATGTTTATAAAGTAGTCTTAACTTCCAGTCTCATTGGGAATATGCCTGGAAAAATAGCACTGTATTTATTTTTGTGTGAAAAATTAATAATAATTCAATAATAATTTAATATTAATTTAATAATTTAAAGTGAGGGATTTTCTTCTGACGGTCTGTAATGCATTGCCGAGTGAGTCATTTAATGGGTTGGGTGAGTGAGAATCTGGGATACAGGATGTTGAAGAATATACTCTCATCCCTGGGGTGGGTCTACTGCTTCCTGACAAAGACTTACCAAGCTAGGTGCCAATTGTCGCCTTTGTGTCCATTCTTTGGATGATACATCCGTCAGGATCTAGAGGAAGGTAGAGGTAAGAGATAATAGCTGCATTTAGTTACACCAAAATAAACAAACCATTATACATGAAGATACACCATAGCTGCACTGGGCATTGAGCCCAGCAGTGGAAACTTGATCATGGCTCATGTGAGAGTGCCTGGTTCGATACCTGGCTGCTGTCCTGACTCAGCTCCAGCTCCTGCATCAGCTGCTTGCTGATGCTGACTCTGGGATAGACTAGTGATGGCTTGAGTAATTGGATCTCTACCATCCACGTGGGTGATCCAGATTGTGTTCCTGGTGTTCCTGGTGTTTAGTGAATGGGAGTTGCTCTAGATCTGTGAATCTCTCTGCAGCTCAAATACGTTAAAAACTAAACAGAACAAATTACCATAACACAAATCAGGTTATATGAAAAAGTCCAGGGAGACTAAATATAGTTAGAAAGACTAAATTCTGATAGTACTAATTTTTTTTTAAAGATTTATTTTTATTATTATTTTTTTATTGGAAAGGCGGATGTACAGAGAGGAGAGACAGAGAGGAAGATCTTCCATCCGATGATTCACTCCCCAAGTGAGCGCAACGGGCCGATACTATGCCGATCCAGAGCCAGGAGCCTCTTCCGGGTCTCCCACGCGGGTGCAGGTTCCCAAAGCTTTGGGCCGTCCTCGACTGCTTTCCCAGGCCACAGGCAGGGAGCTGGAAGGGAAGCGGGGCTGCCGGGATTAGAGCCGGCGCCCATATGGGATCCCGGGCGTGCAAGGCGAGGACCTTTAACCACTTGCGCCACCGCGCCGGGCCCTGATAGTACTAATTTTTAATAAGAATGCGGGGAGGGCCTAGTGCAATGGCTCAATTGGTTAACCTCTCCCTCCCACACACAACAAGCACTGGGATCCCATCCCATATGGGTGCCAGTTCGAGTCCTGGCTGCTTCACTTCCCATCCAGCTCTCTGCTTGTGGCCTGGGAAAGCAGTGGAGAATGGCCCAGAGTCTTGGGACCCTGCACCCATGTGAGAGACCCAGAGGAAGCTCCTGGCTCCTGGATTCAAATTGGCAGAGCTCTGACTGTTTACTTGGTGAATGAATCAGTGGATGGAAGATCTTTCTCTCTCCTCTGTAAATCTGGTTCAAATAAAAATAAATAAATAAAAAGAATATGGGGAAGTTTATATCACATACAGATAAAGTTGGCTAGCCTCTTTAAAATAGCAAAAATCAGGGTTGACCACATTGTCTGTCAATACAGAAATGCATAATAGATGTGACATTGTCTTTTATTGCACATATAATCATGGATAGATTAAAAATAATGCTAAATCTAAAAACCACATGCAAGTAAAAATCAATGTGATACTTTTATGTAAATCAAAAAAGGACTTATATAAATGTATAACTGTACTGTGTATTTAAGGATGTAGACTTGCAAAAATATTAGAAAGAAAATTGTGCAGCAAATTCATGACAATGGTTGGAAGTGAGTGGGGTAGTCAGTTGGGAGTTGAGCTGTACCTGTAGCTGGAAATGTGTGTGGCTGAATGTTTGTTTCTGAGTGATAGATGTGCAGGCTTTTGTTACGTTCTTCTTTGTGTTTTTTGATGATTTTATAAATAGCTATTTTTTTAAAAAAAAGATCAAAGTTTAACAGAAGGAACAAGCAGTAATGATTTCCTGCCAGTACATTTATATGTGTCTTGCTCTTTTAAAATTTTCTAGCTCTATGTGTATTAGAGGAAATGGGATAACTGCATATCATTCATTCATGGTTTGCTCTAGTGTAACCTTGATCTAATGTAGCATCATGCCAGAGGGAAGTGAGGACCCTTATTAGCACATATTGTGCCATTCATTTTGACTCTGGATTTTTTTTTTCAAATCAACTGCAAGCATATGGAAAATAGATTTAGTTCATAGTTATCAGCATGGGGAAGCTAGTGTGCTGACTGGAATCTGAGAAGTTTAATAACCACATTGTGCCTTTTCTCTTGTCTAACCTCTTCCCCACAGGGAATCTTTAACCAGTTTCAGTGCAGCAGTGAAAAAGTGCTTCCATCTGACACTCTCCGCAGTGCACTGGCAAAGACTTTCCAGGATGAACAGCGTTTCCAGCTGGGAATTATGGATGATGCTGCCGAGTGCTTTGTAAGTGCCGCCCTCTGGCCCGCTTTGATATAGGGTAGGACTGTTTTGGTCCCCATCAGGGACTGGGTACCTTAGGATGGAACTTTCTTTCTTTCTCTTCTCTTCTTTTCTTTTCTTTTTGCATGATGTGATCCTGTTTTTGTTTTTGTTTTTTAACGGTTTTTTTTTATTTTGAATTTTTGAATTATGTGTTACAATTTAGTACACACTGGGATTTCCCCCCAAACTTACATCCCCCCGTCAGATTTTCCTCATTTTCCTACAGTGGTATAATAGGATGGAATTTTCTGATCCCTGATCTCTTTGGTTAGAATTAGGAGTCCTGTGGCTTCACAGAGCTCTAGAGTCTCTCTGCTCTTGTGCTGTGACTCACCTAGAGTTTATTATTGTTCTTCAGACTCAGTGTCGTTCTGTGTTTGCCATTGCACAAACAGGTGGTTATCACCTTCAGAGGAGCCAAGGCTCATTAAAGCACAACTTGTTAAGTGCACCTGCAGAGCTTCTCCGTTAAGTTGCCTGGAGGGAGGTCCACAGCTGTCCATCTCTAACAAATTCTTAGTGATCCTGCTGCTGGGTGCAGCTGGGAACTACAGGATTGAACCCCTCCATTTCTTTCTTTTTTTTTTTTTAAGATTTATTTATTTTTATTACAAACTCAAATATACAGAGAGGAGGAGAGACAGAGAGGAGGAGAGACAGAGAGGAAGATCCTCCCCAAGTGAGCGCAATGGCCAGTGCTGTGCCAATCCAGAGCCAGGAGCCAGGAACTTCTTCCAGGTCTCCCATGCGGGTGCAGGATCCCAAAGCATTGGGCTGTCCTCGACTGCTCTCCCAGGCCACAAACAGGGAGCTGGATGGGAAGTGGAGCTGCTGGGATTAGAACAGGCACCCATATGGGATCCCGGCACGTTCAAGGCGAGGACTTTAGCCACTAGCCATGCTGCCGGGCCTGAACCCCTCCATTTCTTTTTTTTTTTTTTTAAGATTTATTTTTATTATTTTTTCATTGGAAAGGCGGATATACAAAGAGGAGAGACAGAGAGGAAGATCTTCCATCCGATGATTCACTCCCCAAGTGAGCGCAACGGGCCGATACTATGCCGATCCAAAGCCAGGAGCCTCTTCCGGGTCTCCCACGCGGGTGCAGGGTCCCAAAGCTTTGGGCCGTCCTCGACTGCTTTCCCAGGCCACAGGCAGGGAGCTGGAAGGGAAGCAGGGCTGCCGGGATTAGAACCGGCGCCCATATGGGATCCCGGGCGTGCAAGGCGAGGACCTTTAACCACTTGCGCCACCGCGCCGGGCCCTGAACCCCTCCATTTCTAAAGAGAGTTGAACTGGCTATGTTCAACACAGTGTAGTTTGCTATGTAGACAGCAACATTACACCAAATAACTTTGATGTTAGGACCTGATTCTCTTGAAATCTTTGTTCTATCAGTCTTCAAAAGGCTTTCTGTGTACAACTATTAAAAATATCTGAGAGTGATATAAACCCCATAACAGAGTAAAAATTGGACCAAAATTACTAGCACTGCCGGAAACATGGGTCACTGATACATTGCTGAGGGTAGGTGAAAGGAAAAAGCTACTCTGGAAAATAATTTGGCAGTTAATTAAAAAAATTAAATGTGTGGCTGTCATATAATCCAGGGATTGCATTCCTGGATGTACATCCCAGAAGTGAAAACTTGTTTTCATACAGAAACCTGTATGTGAATCTGCATGGAAGCTTTATGCAGAATAGGTGAGAGCTCAGAACAGCTCAAGTGTCTTTTAGGCATAGATGATTAAACAAATCATGGTATGGAATATTAGGCATCAATAAAAAGGAATGGGGTATTGACTTGTACAGTAATTTGAATGGACTGCAAGGAAGAACTGAGTGAAAAGTACAGTCTCCAAAGGTTATATACTGGCTCATCCAGTTTGTGTTACACAGAGATGGAGATGGGAGAACACTTCAGTGGTTACTGGCGCTGAGAGGTGTGAGACAGGTAAGGCTATAGAAGGGTAGTCTGAGGCAGTCACATGACGGAACTCTTGTGTATTTTGTGGTGACATACAATAACATGGTTGTACATGTACCTTGTGTAGAGGTACACACAGATGAGTACAAGTAAAACTGGTGAAATTAAACACATTGGATTACACCACTATACTTTCTGCTTTTGATATTGTACTAATTTTTGTTTTTAACATTAGAGATATACCTCCCTTTGAGAAGGATTGCTATTTTTCTGGTAAAGGGCTTTACTAATTTGTACATTTGTCTTTTAAGTATTGTTGGTACACTATGTTTGTTCTTTTCTTGTCAGGAAAACCTCCTGATGAGAATTCACTTCCACATTGCTGATGAAACCAAAGAGGATATATGTACTGCCCAACACTGCATATCTCACCAGAAATTTGCAATGACCTTGTTTGAGCAGGTGAACCCTATGTAGAGCCCCATCTCTTCTTAGACCTTTTCTTCCAGAACACTTTCCCTGGGACATGGGGCGTTAAGTGGGTGACTGCTTAGCCGTGCTTCTCTGTCTTCCGTGCAGTGTGTGTGTACCAGCTGTGGTGCCACTTCGGACCCGCTGCCTTTTATCCAGATGGTGCATTACATTTCCACCACTTCCCTTTGGTGAGTTGGACAGGGTGATTTTATTTGTTTACTTGTTAAAAAGAGAGAGCGAGAGATCTTCCACTCTGAGTGGTTCCTCAGACGGCTGCTATGGCTGGGGCTTGATCAGATAGAAGCCAGAAATTGGGAGCGTCATGCAGGTCTCCCACATGGGTGTAGGTGCCTAAGCGCTTGGGTCGTCTTTCACTGCTAAAGGTGCGTCAACAGGGGGCTGGACTGGAAGCAGATCAGCCAGGACTCAACTGGTGTCTATTGTACCACAATACAAGCCTCCTTACAGGGTTTTCTATTGAATTGTCATGCAATAACCGAAGGCAACTAAATAATTTATATCCTTATTGCTGAGTCTGTGCCATGGTGCAGGAATCCAGAACAGTAATTTTAAAATAACCTCTGTTCTTCTTTCCTGTCCGAAGCCTCTCCATTTCTTATGCTCAATTCTGGTCAGGCAAGTGAGAGGAGAAATGGGGAGTGTATGAGCTTTGCTTTAGCCGTTACTGGGTTGAGGGGACACTGAGGCTGGTCAGGACATGGAGGCTATGAGAGGAAAAAAGTCAAACCTGTGAATTAGAAATTTGCATGATTTATTTGATCTGCCTATAACTCAATGCAACTCCCGCCATCATCCCCTTATCTGAAGCAACCAGGCTATTTGTATGCTGGAAAGGCGAGAAAAACCTTCCCCCAGCATGTTTGGTGAACTGCTGCAGAATGCCAGCACTATGGGGGATCTGCGCAACTGTCCTGTGAGTCAAGTTGGGGTGGGAAGTTAAGGGTGGGAAGGCAAACCCTGACATCTGTGCCATTGAGGCAGAGCCACTGGAAATGCATTGGACAAGGCTCTCGTGTGAATCTGTTTCAGAGCAACTGCGGAGAGAGGATCAGGATTCGCCGTGTGCTGATGAATGCTCCACAGATTATTACCATTGGGCTGGTATGGGATTCGGACCACTCAGATTTGGCAGAGGATGTCATCCACAGCCTGGGCACCTGCCTTAAGCTGGGTGATGTATGTGTTGGTAACTTTGTGACTTCAGAATTCTTGCGTCTAAGTGTTGTTGAAGGGCAATGAATACCGAACAACCTCCCTGCCCCCGCCACATGTGTCCTAGATGACACATACAGCATTTTAGACAGATAGATGTGACTCTGTATAACATGTGCATATGTGTACATGCTCATGGATTTCTCTTGTGTAGATGGCTAAGGTAAGCTGTTTTATGAGGAATGGGATTACCTTGGCCTTGAAGGAAGGGATAAGGAAAGTGTTGCTTCTGATAAGTCCAGCAGTTGACAGCGTTGTTGCCTGCTCTACTCTACCGTTGTGGAGCAGAGAAGCATGTTCAGCTGTGGAAGGTGGTAGTAAGGTCAAAGGAATGAACAGCCCTGACCAGAGCTGCCGTAGGAACTGAACTTGGTGACCCAAACCCAAGGCGGAAGTCTGCAGTGAAAAGTGGAAGGTGAAAAAGCAACCTGGAAGAGAATTTAGCGGTGGTTTCCTGTGACCTCTTCAGGAAATAAACAGGGAAAAATACTTTACACTTGGGACTCTCTACTTTATTAGCTGTATGCCCAAGTATAGATTCAGCCAAGGTTTTTCTTTAGTGCAGGAACTTGGAGCTCTTTTGGTTTTCTCTGTACTGGGTTTTCTCTGGGATAGTCTTATGCCTAACGGAGTCTTTCTGGATTTTGCATGCCATGAAACCATGATGAAGAATGAATGAACTGTCTGGGATCTTATTTTAAGTCTCTCCCGAAGAATGTGACGCAAGTAGGCTATGCACAATAAAAAAAATTCTGATTAACGAATTTCTGTTATCTACATGCTGTGTACCAGTCTGGTTTAATTTTTATGGTTTTTTCAACCAAATTAAATTCTTTAAGACCAGAATCCATTTCTGCAAAGTTTTTGGCATGTCTTTTAACCCTTGGTGAGGTGCTGGGCACCTAGGAATTGAAATATTGGCAACCAGCATGACTGTATTGGGATTGCTTCTGCTAAGGGCTTTCTTCCCTCCACTTGGGTTCTTAGTAGAAAAGTTCACTTTTACCCTCAACTTTTCTTTGAGTATGGTTAATTAAGAAGTGTTGGCGTCTGCTGAGCAAGGCTGTGGGTGTGAGATGGTTGTGTATATGACAGTTCTTTGCTTTTTCTTCTTGTCTCCAGCTGTTTTTCAGAGTGACTGATGACCGGGCCAAGCAGTCTGAGCTGTATTTAGTAGGAATGATTTGTTACTATGGCAAACATTATTCTACATTCTTTTTTCAAACGAAGATCCGCAAGTGGATGTATTTTGATGATGCTCATGTTAAGGAGGTATGAATATCTCTGTCCTCCTTGGAGGTTTTGGGGTAAGAAAGACATAGATAATTATTGTCTGTGTTTCATTTTTATAATTTTGAGCAATAATCCCATCAACCTGTATGAAGCATATTTTTTTATAGTTTTTTTTCCTGTCTAGTTTAGAAGGATATCAGTCTTCTGTAAAATAATGTAAAGGAGGATTACTGTGTCGTCTTTATTTTCATTGAGTCCCCTTGCTGGGGATCCAACACAGTTCTGTATTTATGGTGATCAAGTATTAATACTGTTTTTAAAGGATTTATTATTTTGGGGCTGGTGTGATGTAGAAGGCCTATGGCACCAGCATCCTATATGGGTGCTGTTTTGAGTTTTGGCTGCTCCAGTTTTGATCCAGCTCACTGTTAATGGGCTGGGAAAGCAGTAGAGGATGACTCAAGGTCTGCACCCATGTGGGAGAGCTGGTGGGAAAGCTGTAAGAAGTTTCTGGCTCTTGCCTTCAGACTGGCCCAGCTCTTGCCATGGAAACCATTTGGGTAGTGAACCCGTGGATGAAAGATCTCTGTCTCTCCCCTTCTCTCTCTTAGGTAAAATAAATAAATTTTAAAAAGAGAGCTTTATTATTTAAAAAAATTGTTTGGAAGGCCAAGTTACAGAGAGGAGAGACAGAACGAGAAATTCTTCTATAATCCAACCCCACCCCCCCCCATCACCACCAAGGACAACAACGGTCAGGCCTGGGCCAGGCCAAAACAGGAACCCAGAGCTACTTTTGTGTCTCCCACATGAGCGCAGGGGTCCAAGAACATGGTCCACCATCTGTAGCTTTTCAAGTCACATTAGAAAGGAGCTGGACCAGAAGTGGAACAGCTGGGACTGTTTCATGTGGAATGCCAGCATCCCAGGCAGAAGTTTAGCCTGATATGTCACAACACCAGCCCTTCATTTGAGACACACATGTACACACATGCGCACTCACACACATACACGGAGCCAGCTCCCAATCAGTGATAACATTCCCCAAATTCCAGCAACAGTTGGGGCTGGGGCACTGGAATTGGGAGGCTGCAGCTCAGTCTGGCTCTCTTACGTGAGTGGCAGGAACCCAACAATTTGAGATATGCTCTGTCCCAGGCTCTGTATTAGCAGGAATGTGGTCCTGGGAGTCAGAGCTGAGACTCAAACCCAGGCATTTCATAATGAGACACAGCTATCTTAACTGCTAGGCCAAATGCCTGACTCACTAAAGTTCTTTTTTCAGTGTATTGATTGCTTATTTTCAATTGAAACAGTCTAGTGCCTCAAAATGGGTTATAAGGTTGATACAGAATTGTGCACTCTGGAATTACTAGTGGGTGATACTTTATCTCAGGCAAGTATATATTTCCTTTTCTTTTGTTCTTTCTTTAAAGTTTATTTTATGTATTTGAAAGAGAGAGGGAGAGACAGAGATTTTCCATCCACTGATTCACTGCTCAGGTGGCAGCAATGACAGGAGCTGATTTAGGCTGAAGACAGGAGCCAGGAGCTTCTTTAGGGTCTTCTGTATGGATGCAGGGGCCCAAGCACTTCTGCCATCTTCTGCTGCTTTCCCAGGTGCAATAGCAGGGACCTGGATCAGAAATAAAGGCATCTGTGACCTGAACTGGTGCCTATATGGGACACCAACAGCTTTACTTGCTATGCCACAACACCAGCCCCTAAATCTATTTTTTGGATGGTTGGAAATGCCCTATGACAAGTTAACATTCTGAGGAGATGGCATGCCGGTTATGATACTTTATGCAAGACACTGGGTGCTATCTGAAGGTCACAGTCTGTGGCTAAAGTTGTTTAGGTCACCAACGTGAGTTGGAAGGCTTGTGGTTATAATGTTAGCAGATATTCTAGGAACTGCTGACTATAATCTATACCGATCTGCATTCTTTAAGCAATATCTTCCTCAAAAAATAGTCTTCATCACATCTCTGTATTGTTCTTTGTCTCTTTTTGCTCTTCTTTTTTTTTCTTCCCTCCTTAAGGTTTATTTATTTGAAAGGCAGAGTTATGGAGGAAAGCAATATATACAGTGCTCATCTATCTGCTTGTTCACTCCCTCAAGTGGCGACAATGGCCAGAGCTGGGCCAGGCTGAAAACAGGAGTTTAATCTAGGTCTCCCTTTTGAGTGCAGGTGCCTACGCACTTGGGCTATCCTCAGCTGCTTTCCCAAGCATATTACCAGAGAGCTGGACTGTAAGTGGAGCAGTACTTGAACCTGTGGCCATATGGAATGCTGTCATTGTAAACAGTGACTTAACCAGTTATGCCACACTCTTGTATTCTCTTTTGCTGTTTTGAATTAGAGGCAACGTTTGAGTTCTCTGAGTTTTAGATTTTTTTTTAATTGAAAAATACCCTTAGAAGATATTGAGATTTGTATGTGAAAAAATAAATTTTAGTAAAAATAATAATTATAAGTTGACTGGCCCTCTTATGAATATGAATAAACACTATTCTAGTTGTCCAGTTCTAGGAGCATAGCTATCTGAGAATGTAACTTAAGTGGGTTCAGTTTGTGTCTTTGGTTGGATTGTGGTTTATGTGGCTGTTCTGTCACTCAGCTTTCCACTGCGGCCCTGGAGCTGAATCCCCTAGTAAATCCAGAAAGGTTCAGCTGGCTATTCTGAGCACTTTGACATTTCATGTACTGCCATGAGTGAACTCTGAAACTGAATGTTATTTTCTCTCATGTAGTCTGTGAGAGTGTTTTTTACTCCTGGTCAACCTCACATAAGTGATTTTAATATTTGAGGGTAGAAATTGCAGAAATGCAAATTTGAAGTGAGGGCTTGATGTTTATGAAGAGAAATTGATCCCCAAAGCAGGTGAAGTACACAGCATATCCACCTTTGAGAATTTATATTTCAGAGTTAAAGTTTACAGAAATAAAAATGATTTTATTTGTACCTCCATATATAATTTTAATGTTTTTTAAAAAGATCTAGCAGAAAAAAAGATTTTATAAACTATTCATTGGTTGGATATAAGATTTCTTTTGTTGTCTTCTTACCTAGTTCTTGTATTTTCATTTCTTCTCTTCTTTAGAAACCCAAAGCACAAAGATGTGGTCTTAAATTGTGGCTATGAAGTGTAACTGTCATGTTTCTGGTTGTTTCTGGTTCAGATTGGACCCAAATGGAAAGATGTGGTGACCAAATGCATCAAGGGACATTATCAGCCTTTGCTGTTGCTGTACGCAGACCCCCAGGGCACCCCTGTGTCCACTCAGGACCTGCCCTCCCACGCCCAGCTGCAGTCCTTCAGCAGGGCATGCTACGACAGTGAAGATTCGGGTGAGCAGCCCAGCTTTGTCTTCTCCCTCCCGCCCGCTGCCATGGCGAGGTAGTCAGGATTCATACCTGATTGTGTACCTTGCTTAGAGAAAGATGAGAACCAAGGAGCAGCTTGTGCAGGAGCTTTGCTTGCGCCAGATGTTAGTTCCTTTCAGCCTTAGTCACTTGACCCCAACTCAGAAATGAAATTTTGTTCACTTACATGTTGAGATATGAGACCTCAGCTTTTAGCCTTCTAAAACTGGTAAAGATGCCGTATTCTTATCAGCCATTTAGCAGTGACAAGAAAAATTAAATGACTACAAAGGTAGTCATTTTTTTGGGCGGGGGGGGACTGAGACATTTTTTATTTTAAAATGCTAGAAGTGTTGTTCTTTAGCTTGTGGACCAGTTGTTCACCATTAGGTCGAGTGTTTGGAAGGTAAAGAATATCTTCCCATAGAAACAGTTTACAGCTTGCGGAAGCCCGCAGAGGCTCATAGTATTTCTGAGCTGTACTTATAATTGTTTTTGGTTTGATATCTGAAAAGGAGCTTAAGGGTCGTTTACTCTTCTAGATCTAGCACTGGCCCATAGTATGATTTTGAAAGGGAAGACAACTGACCCTGAAATCTTTGCCCCTTCCCTTCGTACTTGCTCCTGCTGGATCCCTGGTGCCCGCTTGGCACCCTTGGCGTCCCACCCAGATCGGCTCTACTTCTCCCTTCGAACACCCACTTGTCTTGTCATGGAGAAGAGAGCAGTCTGCTTAAAGTAATCCTCAGTAAAATATATATATTTATAGCCCTATCAATTGTCAGATATTAAAAATCACACAGTACCAGTTATGTTTTTCAAAGTGACAGTCATCAGACTAGGAGGAACATGGGATAAGGGGACTGCAAGTTGTGTGTGACCAGTTGGCCTGGGACTTCCCACCTAAGTGGATCTTATTTTTCACAATTTTTTAATTTCTTCCACTACCCCCCTTCCCAACCCTGTAGGTTTTCTAAAAACTGCACAATTTTTCCTTTTTTTTTTAAATTTATTTTTATTTTTTAAAGTTTTTCACAGTGATAGGCAAAGTGAGGCTTCAGCAAAGTAGGGGCAAGGGTGGGAGGGATTGTATGTTTTATCTGGGTGATCTACAAGTCGGGAAGAGTGGCTTGGTGGTCTCTCGTTTTACTCTTCAGCTAGGAAGCTGTTGCCTCACAGCCTTGTAGCACCCTCCTGTTTTCTTTCTCCCTGTGTCATCGTTGTCATTGTTCTCTCCTTCCTCACTTTTGCGTATGTGTCTCCTCCTTCCCTCAGGGAGGGAGCCCTCCATCTCAAGTGACACTCGAACAGATTCCTCAACGGAGAGCTATCCCTACAAACACTGTCACCATGAGTCTGTGGTCAGTCACTTCTCTTCTGATTCTCAGGGGACAGTCATCTGTAATGTGGAGAATGACTCCATGTCCCAGAGCAGTCGGGACACAGGTAGGGACCGATGTAGTGGGCCCTGCTTGCCTGATTCAGTGTGCGCTTAGGGAGATCTCCCAAGGAAAAGAAACTGGGGGCAAAGCAGAAATGTCGCCATCCAACACTGAAAGGCACAGAACTTGGGAGGTTGAGTGAGGGAAAGGGGAGATACCAAGAAGCAACATGTGTTTTTTTTTTTTTTGTTAAGATTTATTTATTTTATAGGAAAGGTATATAGACATTTCTTTTTCTTATTATTTTTTAAAGATTTATTTATTTTATTGGAAAGGCGGAGAGACAGAGAGGAGAGACAGAGAGGAAGATCTTCCATCCGATAATTCATTCCGCAAGGTGCCACAATGGCTGGAGCTGAGCCAATCCTAAGCCAGGATCCAGGAACTTCTGGGTCTCCATGTGGATGCAGGGTCCCAAGGCTTTGGGCCGTCCTCGACTGCTTTCCCGGGCCACAAGCAGAGAGCTGGATGGGAAGTGGGGCTGCTGGGATTAGAACCGGTGCCCATATGGGATCCTGGTACGTTCAAGGCGAGGACCTTAACCACTGCGCTATCACGCTGGACCCGCAACATGTTTCTAAAAGAACAGTGATACTGCAGCGCACATGCTCCTGCCAACAGCAGCGCTTCAATAAGGACTATTGTAGTGTGATTAGCAGTATGATTATTCAAAAGCCTGCTTTTCACTTGCTATCCTTTTGACCCCGTCCTTCCTATTGTGCTCCTTTTTACCCTTGTATTCTTGCACCTTGTCATGTTTTTGTGCTATGCTTTGTCCTCAGTGAAGAGCATTCAGAACAGGGGTGTGTTTATGGCTAGGGGACACCTACTTATCAGCTTGCTAGACTTACTTTCTGAAGGACAGAGAAATAAAAGAGGAAAGATAGTCTGTTCCTATGTGTTCTTTGCAGGTCAGATATTCTTCAAGGGTTTTGTTAAATTGTAGGAGAGAGTGCTTGGTGTTAGTGTTGGTACAGGCCAGGAAAGGGAGAGTGAGCAGCTGCAGAGATGAAAAGTCCATGGGAGCTAGAGTCGCTAAGGCCTGGAAAAAGGCACAGACCCCGGGGTGTGAGAAGCAGCAAGCTCAGAACTGCTGAGCATGGATTACAGTATGTGGTCATGGACACTTCAGTTTAGAATTTCTGATTGATTAAGAAGTATACATAATTCTTTTCTGCCCCTCTATGGACCTGCATCCTGGCTTTTAATAATTATAACTGCTAGGCAGTCTAGTTTTATCTGTACCTATGCCCACTTCCCCCACTCCTGAATGAATATGATTGAAGTCCCAGATATCATATCCCGTCTGTAGATACTCTAGTACATACTGCTAAAAATAAGTCATTTTGAGCCTCATATTATTAGGTGTAAATAATAATAATAGCTCCTTAATTCCACAGAGGTAACCGGTGAATGTTTTATTACTCAATTATAAATGGCATAATTTTCTAATAGTTTGTGTGTTTGACTCAGAATCCAAATGAGGTCTACATGTTGTGATGGGCTGAACTGTTTTTGGTTTTTTATTTTTAAGACCTTTTTTTTTTTTTAACTTGAAAGGCAGAATGATAAAGAAAGAAAAATCTTCCATTCAGTAATTCACTCCCCAAAATGTGCCATCTTGAGCTAGATCAGGCTGAATCCAGGAGTCAGGAGCTCCATCCTAGTCTCCCACAGAGTTGAAGGGGTTCACAGACCTGGACCATCTTCTGCTGCATTCCCAGGGTTATTAGCAGGGAGCTGAATTAGAAGCAGAGCAGCTGGGAATTGAACTGGCATTCCCATGTGGTAAGCTGTTAAGTGGTGGCTTAAACTACTGTACCACTATGTCAACCCCCATCGTCCTTTATCTCTTTATTCATTTTGTAGATTTTTTCCTCTATTTTTTCTTTTCAATTTATTATTGACAAACCAAATAGTTTATCTTATAGATTTCCCACATTACAAAATTTGCTGATTATATCCTGATCGTATACTTTAACATGTTTCTTTGTCTTCTCTCATAAAATAGTAGTTGGACACAGAGGTTTGGTCGGCTTACGTTGAATTTCTTTAGATAACTACTACATAGATGGTATTAAGTTTGCATTTTTAAGACCATATTTTTGAAACTGCAAACCATAGTCATAGGATAAATGACACATAATTGCTAGGAGAGCCAGGTTTATGTTAAAGATGTGTTTGGGGTGGGAGGGCATGGCTGTCAGTGTAGCATTTACAAGATTTTGTTACTCCAGGTAATTTCCTCCTTTTGTAACTTTCCTGAACCCATAGTTGGCTGCTCCATTAATATATAAGAGGATTTTAAAATATTAGCATGAAAATAAATTTCCCTTAGCTCTCAGGGTGCTTCACAATGAGTGGGTTTTCTCTAAGTCTGTCTTGAAACTTAATTCAAGTCTAGCTTTCGATAACTTAATTATATTATTTATATGTGACCCTTAGTGTATGATCTAAATTATACTTTGCCATTTTCATGTTGTGGACATGAAGTAGGGCAGGATACAGAAAGTAACCCAGCTATCCTGGGTTTCCCATTGGTCTTGCTGAAGAACCATCAAGTATAATTTCTCATTTGAAGGCAAGTGTGTTGGCACTTGATTTGGGGATGGGAATATCAGAGTTACAATTTGGTTTTAAGAGACCTTTCAGGAAGGTAGCCAAGAGCTCTTGTGGACAAAGACCAGGCCACCCAGGATGATACAAATCAGGATTTATTGAGTATGTATTGGCAAATAAAGGAAAGCCCTGTCTTGAGTAATGAGAGAGAAAATATATTGGCACATGCCATTTTTAACAATATTTGAAACTTTTGCCTGTTACAAATTACTAAGGAGTACATCCTTAGTCTTTCTAGGTCACTGGCAAAGGTTATGAACAAGACTGGGGCTAAGTTGCTCAGGAGACATCGTAAACTTGGAAGCAACCATTAAATACTGAACCTTCTCTATAGTGATCTGCTGGGAAATTCCCACCCTTTTTTAAAACAAAGATTTATTGATTTTTTTTTTTTTTGGAAAAGAGAGAGGATTTCCATCTGCTTGTGCACTCCTCAGATGGCTGCAGTGGCCAGCACTGGAGTGGATCAGACCCTGGAGCATCATCGGGGTCTCTCATGTGGATGACGGAGGCCCAAGTACTTGGGCCATCTTCCACTGCTTTTTCTCAGGCCGTTAACAAGGAGCTGAATTGAAAGTGAAGCAGCTAGGACATGGGCTGGTGTTGCAAACAGTAGTGCTGCCTGCTACACACCACAGTGCCAGCCCTGAGATTCCTACCCTTAAGCCAGGTAGCCTTGGCCTCTACCACTTCCGGTCCATGAGGACACTGAATTAGTGGCACTGCCATAAATCCTGAAGAGCTCAGACATCAGCTCAGCCTGGTCTTCTTCTTTCAGGACACCTGACTGATAGTGAATGTAATCAGAAACACACTTCCAAGAAAGGAACCCTGATCGATCGCAAGAGGAGCTCTGGCCGAGTTCGGAGGAAAGGCGAGGAGCCCCAGGCCTCGGGCTACCACAGTGAAGGCAAGCCACCCTGAATGGCCTCTCTTCCTTCCTGCTGGCCAGCTTTCCCTGGCTGTTTAGACTTTGGGGTCTGGGTGCCCGTGGCTTGCAACGTCTACATCTGTTTCTTTGTTTGTGGTTTTAGGAGAGACGCTGAAAGAGAAGCAGGCTCCAAGGAATGCCTCCAAGCCATCCAGCAGCACTAACCGGCTGAGAGATTTTAAAGAGACAGTCAGCAACATGATTCATAACAGGCCTTCCCTGGCTTCTCAGACCAGTGTAGGCTCTGCCTGTGCAGGGAGGGCAGAGCAGTCTGACAAAAAACCCCCCAGGACCCTGCCCTTACATACTCATGACTGGGAAATAGAGAGCACCAGCAGCGAGTCAAAATCCAGTTCTTCCAGCAAGTACCGTCCCACGTGGCGACCCAAGCGAGAGTCCCTGAACATCGACAGCATCTTTAGTAAGGACAGAAGGAAGCATTGCGGCTATATCCAGCTTAGCCCCTTTTCTGAAGATTCAGGTGAAGAGATCATTAAGGAAGACTTGGGCTTCCAAGTAGAATTTACATATTTTAAAAACTTGAGCCTATTAGGGATATGTGTTCAAAAACCAAATAGCTTGAGGGGAGGGGCTTAGGTCTTGATTTTAGAAGGGTGGTTGCTCAATCTACCTCCTTTTCTGTTCTTATTTTTTGATTGAGACAGCTAAAGAATTGACACCAGAGGAGCTAAGCAAGCCACCTGCTTATGACCTTAAAGCTGGAGGACCAAGCCCCCCGTACAAGCCCTGGGGCCCAGCGCGGTCAGGTTCCCACCTTTTAGAGCAGCACCCTCGCCTAATTCAGCGAATGGAGTCTGGCTATGAGAGCAGCGAGAGGAACAGCAACAGCCCCGTCAGCCTGGACGCTGCCCTGCCTGAGAGCTCCAGTGTCTGCAGGTATGGTTTGCTCTGAATGGAGCTATTGTGCCTGGAAACAGTCCGGGGCCTCACCCTGGGGGCTTTGACAAGGTAGACCTGAGATTTCTTCCCTTTGCGTTCTGTGCTCTACTTTCTGGTCCATGGGCGCCCTCTGATGGGAGGAAAAGCAAAGGCACTTATGAAAGGAAAGAACGCTTGGATTTACTATCCTTTGGAGTGGTCTCTTCAGCCCCAAGCATGATAAAAGTGGAACAGTATGGAGATGAGCATGGTCTCTGTGCAAAGGTGACATTATTTCATGAAATGTTCCATAATTTTCAGATAGATGGGAAGGACAAGTTCTAGATACTTAATAACTGTGGAAACTGTAGGTAGGTATTTAGATTGTATTATTTGTATAATTTATGCCAAAGAAATAGATTTTAAAAATTGTTTTTGCCACCACAGTAATCCACAAATGGGTATCTGAAATGGTTGGTTAATTTGCTTTACTCTAGTTACATTGGTACTATCAGTAAGTATCCCAGAACATCACTTTGTGTATTAAATGGATACACAATTGCTTAGTAAATAACTTTTATTGAATGTATAAATTGGATAAAAGATTTTATAATGCTAAGATCAAAGAAGAAACGCAACTGTTATTGTTTTTTTTTTTCTTAAAAAAAGATTTATTTATTTTATTGGAAAGGCAGATATACAGAGAGGAGGAGAGACAGAGAGGAAGATCTTCTGTCTGATGATTCACTCCCCAAATGACCACAATGGCCGTTGCTGTGCTGATCTGAAGCCAGGATCCAGGAACTTCCTGCTTTCCAAGGCCACAAGCAGGGAGCTGGATGGGAAGTGGCCGGGATTAGAACCGGTGCCCCTATGGGATCCCAGCACGTTCACAGTGAGGACCTTAACCATTACACTATTGTGCTGGGCCCGTAACTGTTATTCTTTCCATTTTGGGATAGATTATTTTGTTTTAAGGATCAATGAGAACTCTGTGTTTTATGAAGGCAATGATAGCCATATTTTGTGTTATAGTGATTTGGTTTGATAAAACTCATTGTTACCTGCCAGTAGCACTCATTATGTTCTTTGTACTTCAAATTGCCATGTGTTTAGTGAATTGCCAATACTGGAGAGTTTCCTAATAGTATGACTGCTTTGGAAGGAATGATTATACCTTCTTCAAAGGGACGGTCACATCCTCATATTTTCCCACTCTTCTTTGTTAACCATAGGACTGTGTTCAATTTACTTATGTATGAGAAGATGCTGCAGAGGATTAGTAAGAATGTGGAAGGCTGTAGACATGAGAGCAGTGTTTTCATTAATTCATTCAGTGGATTGGAATGTCTGTGGAGTGCCAGAAATGAAAGATGTGAATGAAGTGTGAGATAAGATAGAATGAGTGGATATTTCAATTTTCCAGAAGTAGTGTAGCAGAAGCCTTAATTTGTTAGAGGAATTTAATCCTAGAAAAGCTGCTAGTCCTCACCACTCAGTGTTGTCATTAGACTGGGTTCTCTTTTGAAGGGATTCAAGTGCTAAGAGATCAGTTGGCTTTGTCCCTTCCTGGCGTCATATCCCGAAGTCTCACAGCAGTAGCATCCTGGAGGTGGATTCTACAGCACCCATTAGTGGCTGGACAAAGAGTCAGCCTTTCTCAGGTAAGCAGGAAACTGGATTTGAGGGGTTGGATCTGAGCACCAATTCTATTTGGGGAACAGCCTACCCTGATTATATCTGAGATTAAAAGAAATTTGCATTTTGAGTATATGACTAGGATGTAAGTATGGAAGCACTGAGTTGCTTTGTATTTGGGCTTTTTTGAGTGTTCTGAGAGTTGCGTGAATGTTTCTGTCATAATAATATCATTTCTTTCTATTACAATATGTAAGTTCCCTGTTATGGGACAGCCTCTTGGGAAACAGATTTATTATTCTTAATACTGTGAATTGAGGTATCAAAAGGGCGCACATAAGTGCTGTATAGCTGAGAAATGAGGCCTGTGAACTTAGCCTTATCATTGTGTCTGTGCCCTAGTCTAAATAGTAGTTCTCTTGATAGTTACTCTAAGGTTTTAGAGACGGCTAGATTGAAAGTTTGGATTAGCACTAATAAGGGCGTGAACCTCATGTGAATGCTATGGGTTGTTGACATCTAGCAAAGCCCAGCAACGACTGCGGAGGCAGATATTCCTGGAATTCTGGGTTAGAGTCAGTTACGGTTAGAGATCCATGAAAGAAATTTATCTTCCCCATTCAATTATAGTTTGGTTTATTTACCATATTTAACCATTTTGTGTTGAGCAAACATTAAGAAATGTCCAAGCATGCATAAGCCCACTCACCTCTTTGAATAACCAACATCTTCTGGTACACTAGAGTGAATCCTCTGGTTTTCCTAACAGTCCGCAATTCTGGCCTGCTGCTTTCTTTAATAGGTGAAGTACTCAGCAAAGAATTCTTTATGTTGATAAATAACCCCACCATTCTTTTGGTATAAAAAAGTAGTTTTTATGTCTCACAGTTTGGTCTGATTATTTTATTTAAGCACAAAATACATTTTTATCTGATGACTTTGATACTGTTAAAAATTTATAGAAATAAATCTAATAATTCAGTAACATGCTTTTGCCTCCTCAAATTTAATGGATTGTTATTGTTAGTGTTTGTTGTTTTTCATCTTTTTTCTGTACTCACATAAGTATATGAATGAGTGTGTATACATATATGTAGGCCACAATCATTTTAAAAAAATAAAATGATGTCATTCTGTCAATTTTCCAATTTATCATGGATTTCCTTCTAGATTTACATAGATGAGTCTAGATTTACTTAGATCCATTTTTGAACACTTCCCAACATAAACTTTTATTACCATATGCATTTTACAGACTGATTAAAGAGATGGTGAAAATTCCCTCAATGAACCTACGTCAATACCTCTAGCAAGTGTTCCTTAATAATTAACTATATGGATTATTAATTTAACTTACTGTTTTTAGTATAGTTGCACCATTTGCCATCTGTGTTACCTAGTTCAAATGATTTATCCCGGGACACGGTAGGCTAAGCTACCCTTTAAGCCACACCTGCATCCCATGTTGGATTGCTGGCTCCATTCCTAACTACTCTGCTTCCTATCCAGCTTCTTGCTAGTGCGTTCTGGAAGGCAGCAGATAAGGGTTCAAGTGGTGGGGACCCTGCCACCTAACCATGAAAGACCTGGATGGAGTTCAAGGCTGCTGGCTTCAGCCTAAATTAGCCGTGGCTGTTGCAGACATTTGGGTTATGAAACAGCTGTTGGAGAATGTGCTTCTCTGTGTCTCTGTCCTTCAAGTAGATGGAAATAAACATTAAAGAAATTATTTCTCATTTTGAAGCTCAACTTCCTGATTTCTAACCTGGGGGTAATAATAGAATTTACCTCCTCTATTGTGATAAGCATATTAAGTAATATATGTTATCAAAGTTTCCTGGCATATGGTTAATGCTCAGGAAATGTTAGGTGTCCCATTGTTATAAACCACTCAATAAATATTTGCTATTGTTGGTTGATTTTACTGTTACTATTCATGGTTCAAGTCCTACCCTGAATCTGATATGGAAAGCTTTATGTATAACATAAAGTCTAAATTGAAGACAACTGTTGGACAGGAAAAGTGGTATCATAGCCACAAATTCAGCAGGTGCTTAGTATTGGCTATGGAAATGTGTTGGTTTACCTCCTCCTTTTTTTTGTATTGCAGGTGGGGAGATATCTTCAAAAAGTGAACTGGATGAACTGCAGGAGGAGGTGGTCAGGCGGGCCCAGGAGCAGGAACTTCGAAGAAAGCGAGAGAAGGAGTTAGAGGCAGCCAAAGGATTCAACCCTCATCCCAGCCGCTTCATGGACTTGGATGAACTGCAGAATCAGGGTAATTATGAGCCTTAGGTTGTGGGTTATGGGGCCAGAAAGAAAAGTAGAAGAAAAGACCTGAGTTTGTTCCCCCATCTGCTCTTTAGTGAAGGGATATTAGCCATTCCAGTGAGAGCTGGTTCAGGACAAGTGGCAATGCTTGTGGACCAGGGAATTCTGTTTGCTGGAAACATTTCCTGGATATTCTGAAGTTTCATGGAAGTGGATTTACCACACAGGAACCCCACACAAAGCCTGATTTATTTTTGATCCATGATGATTTATTTCATAGTCTCTTTTGCTTACATGGACTTTACCTGAACTTCCTCTAGCAGCCTCCTCTTTGTAACTTTTTTGTCTTTTGAATTTCTGTAGAAAATCATTTTACAACAAGAGACAAGGATTCAAAATAAGAATTCAAGAAGGCTGAGGTGTCTATCTTAAAATAGGCCAAGAAGAATATTTCTGTTTATCTTTCCATATCAATCTTATTATTCAGAATATCCAGGTATAAAAAGTGGGGCCAAGACTGATGTGAAGTGTTAAGGCTGATGTCAGTGCCATTTCTGTGGCTGTATTCTGTCAACTACTTTTCTTTTTATCAACACTTAGAAAAGCTTCCTTGACTTAAGCTATCCTAATTTGGAGTATTTCTCTAATTCTGTTTTCTTATGATTTTAAGGCAGTTTTTACCTTAAATTTCCCAAAGTATTTGTTTCAGAATTATTTTCAAATATCTGATTCCTTCCTATCTCTGTAATTGGATAATCATTTCTTTCTTTTTGACCTCATTTTATCATAGTGGTATCATAGGTTTGTATTTCTTGTAAAAGAGTTCTTCATGTTTCTCCACTTGCAACCCTTGCTTCTAGCACACTACCCTCACCCTGTCTCTTGGACAGTTGGGCTGTATTTCATTGTCAGTTCTCCAAACACTTGGGTTCAGTATCTCCTTGAAGAGTAAGGAATGGAGTACTAAAGTTCTGGAGGATAAGAATTAAAGTCTTACAGTGATTGAGTGACAATAGTCTGCCTATAACTCTGTGGAGAATTTTTGCAGTAACTTTTTCACCCGCCTCTTATTATAAAGAACTTGTCGATTCATTATTTGATTCTAAATATTGTAAACACCGTATCTCTAGAGATAGGCAGGAACCTGTGTTCTCAATTCTTCAGAACTAATTGGTACTTCCCATTGTGCTCAAAAACCCCAAAAAGTGTAAGAAGTGAATGTTAGGATGTGGAAGAGACTTTCCTTTCCATGTCCTGCTGGAGGTAAGTGGAGGTGGAGGGGGGGACAGGTATGAGACAACAGGGGAAGTAAACTTATTATGTTACGCTTTCTGCCAGTTTATGGTTATGAACTAGTTCAGAAGGCAAAGGGGCATGTCAATAAAGGTGCATTTGCAAGAGTTGCCTTTGCTGTGTTTCTTAACCTTTTCATCTGGCATTGTACATGGAGTCTTGTGCACTTGCTTTGGTACATGTTCACTTTGAGTGTAGGAAAATTCCAGGTTCACTCTCTGGGAAGGTCAATTTTTGGGGGTTTTGGTGAGCAAAGCCATGATAAAGTAAATATTTAGTAGTGCTAATGAGAGGTAGTAGTGGCAGAAAGTAGTGGAGCTTTGAGTGGAAGCCTAGGGTGTTCTGGCACTAGTTGGCAAGGGTGTCTCTTATTGCATTGTGGAAGGTTAGTGCAGGTTTAGGTATAAGAGATGATATTTTGTTCCTTGCTTGAAGGGCTCTCTAAAAAGACCTGGAGCTGTGGCTAGCAATGACATCTCTTTTGCTTGGCTTCAATAAGATCTTAGTGCAGGAAAAGGTGGATGTCCTGCTGGTTTGGAGGACTACCTGTCACTCTGAGAGGACAGTTGGAACACGGGTATTCCAGCTGCTCAGCAGCAGGGGCTACATGTGCCACAGGGAAACCTCAGTATGTAACCCAAGTTGGAGTGAATTGTAATGAAAATGAAAAGTGCTGGCCCTTTCAGGGAGGAGTGACGGCTTTGAGCGGTCCCTGCAAGAGGCAGACTCAGTGTTGGAAGAGTCGCTGCGTATGGAGCAAAAGGGAGACTGTGCTGCAGCTTTGGCGCTCTGTAACGAAGCTATCTGTAAGTAACTCTAACAGCTACAGCTACAGCAACTTGGACTAACCTCACCATAGATTTTGTGTTGTCACTCAGAGATCAAAATGGTTTTTCTGTCTCCTCACCACTCATGCTCCCAAACTGAGGTCCTTTAGCTCTCGTTGCCCGTAAGACCTCCGAGGATGCTCTGCACCATCCCGATGGCCTAAGGCTATTTACTGGAATAACCTCAGCAGGAATCCACAGATGAATCCTCCAGCTCTGTGTACCTTCTTATTACCCCAAGATTGTTAGACCTCAGCTGTGAGGTTGGTCTGCTCTTTCTGTAGTCACTGACTACTGAGTTGGTGCATATGGTGGGAAGACTGAGTAAATCGATTGTGATTTTCCAGCACTGTGACTTTCCATTGTACTATTTGATTGATTCTGTTTCTCTCCTTCCTTCCTGCTGTGCATCACCATAAAGTTGCAGCAAAGGACTGAGGCTTAGAATCTGATTCTTAAATGTGACCTCTAGCAGCTGTGCTGTATATACGCAGCTGCAGGTTTGGATCTTGCAGGAAGGGGGAGTTGGGAGTGGAATATGGAGACTTGAATCTGACAGGTCAGTTGAAAAGAATAAAGAGTGGCAACTTCTAAGATGGTAGCACTCAGTTTATCTCCCTGATTCATTTTAGTTTAGCTTTTGTTTTGTTTTGTTTTAATTTAATTTGAATTAATGTGTTTGGCCTCCCTGGCTTCCCTTGAATGTTCCTTATAGCCAGAGGCAGCTATGTGCCTTGGGCAGCACATGCATGGTCATGCATTGCATTCCTGCTGCATATTTTGAGTTTTACTGCATATATTTGCTCATTTTTAGTTCAGTTTTATTCCTTTTATTTTTGTTTGTGTTTTGTGTTCTGTTTCTGCTATATTTTCTTTTGCATTTTAGCTAAACTAAGACTTGCCCTGCATGGTGCCAGCTCTAGCACGCACAGCAGAGCCCTAGTCGATAAGAAGTTGCAAATCAGTATTCGAAAAGCACGGAGCCTGCAGGATCGCATGCAGCAGCAGCAAGCATCGCAGCAGCCGTCGCAACCCTCAGCCTGCCTCCCATCACAGGGGGGCACCTTCCCTCAGCCAACAAGGTAGTGCTTGGGAACCATGCTAGCCATGGATGACAGGGGAGGTAGTAAGTGTGGGTGCTCTGTAGCAAGAGCACTCATTGTCGTGGTGGTGACTACGGGGGAGAGATAAGAGCCCTCTGAAAAGCTTTTCTTGTGTATGATCAGAACATACATTGGAAAACTATTAGTACTGCTGGTTCTTAATAGTTATTAGGGAGCTGAAAAAAATAGAGCATGATAAGTAGACTCTTGCAGGTGAGTCATCCCTGGGCTGATATGATAGCACAATGATTATACTTGTACGTATTTCCTTTGCCTTGCTTCTGTATGGCCAAGACTAGGAAAAAAGCCTTAGAAGCCAATGGTGTAGTTCCCACGTTGTAGCCTTGCAGTTTGGCTTTTACTTAGAGTACATAAGGTAAGTAAAAATTAATTTTGACTGTTAACAAGTTTGAATAGTTCTCAAAATAGAATAATTGTTGGGCCAGCACAGTGGCCTAACAGATAAAGTCCTCGGCTTAAACGTGCCAGAATCCCATATGGGCGCTGGTTCTAATCCCAGCACACCTGCTTCCCATGCAGCTCCCTGCTTGTGGCCTGGGAAAGCAGTCGAGGATGGCCCAAAGCCTTGGGACCCTGCACCCGCATGGGAGACCCAGAAAAGCTCCTGGTTCCTGGCTTTTGATTAGCGCAGCTTCGGCCGTTGTGGTCACTTGGGGAGTGAATTGTCAGACGAAAGACCTTCCTCTCTGTCTCTCCTCTTCTCTATGTATGTCTGACTTTGCGAGGAAAAAAAAAGTAAATCTTTTTTTTTAAAAAAAAAGAATAATTGTTAAAAAAAATAAGAATAATTAAAGCAGATGATAGTTTTTGAACATTTGTCAGATCCAAGCACTGAGTTAAGCACTTGGTAGGTTTTGCTTTATTCTCATTAAATTTAAGAGATGCGAGCTGTTTTCAGCATGTTTTGCTTATGATGAAACTCAGGCTCAGAGAGGTTAAATAGACACCCAAAATTACATAACTAGTAAGTGACATAAGTATGGATATTTTTTAAGATTCATTTTTATTTTTATTGGCAAAACAGACTTATAGCAAGAAGGAGATACACACAGAAAGAAAAATCTGTCTGCTAATTCACTCCCCAAGGGGCCACAATGACCAAAGCTGAGCCGATGAGGAGCCAGGAACTTCTGTGTCTCCCACACAGATGCATGGTCCCAAGGCCTTGGTCCATCCTCTGCTGCCCTCCCTGACCACAGGCAGAGAGTTGGGGGGGAAGTAGAGCAGCCAGGACAAAAGCTGTGCCCATATTGGATCCCAGTGTGTGCAAGGCAAGGATTTAGCCAATGAGCCATTGTGCTGGGTCTGATTTCTTTCTTATCTTTTTAAAATTCATTTTTGTTTAAAAGGCAGATTTATAGACAGAATGAGAGAAAGACCTTTTATCTGCTGGTTTACTCCCCAAATGGCTGCAGTGGCCGAAGGTGAGCTGATCTGAAGCCAGGAGCCAGGAGCTTCTTCCAGGTCTGCCACTTGATTGCAGGGTCCCAAGGCTTTGGGCCATAAGTAGGGAGCTGGGTGGGAAGTAGAGCAGCTAGGATATAAACCAGCACCGTATAGCATGCTGGCGCTTGAAGGGAGAGGATTAGCTTGTTGAGCCATGGTGTCAGCCCTGAAAGTGTGGATTTCTTATTCAGGTCTGTTTGATACAAAGCACCTGCCCTTAACCATTACAATGTTGCTTTTTTTTTTTTCCAGGAGGCTTCCTTATTTCATATTTATTTCATATTTATATATAAAGTTTATAGTATGTAGATTGAATACCCCTTACCCAAATACTTTATACTAGTATTATTTCAGAGTTTGGCATTTTTCAAATTTAAGAGTATTTGCATAAGCTTTACTGAATGACCATCCCTAATTTGAAAATACAAAATTTTAGAGTTTTCAACATCAAGAAACTTTTGAATATTGACATGACACTCAGTTTTAGATTGAAACATTTTGGATTTTTGGGTTAGGAGCACCCAACCTGTGTTCTCATTCACATTTTATTTATATGTATTTATTTAACCTATTTGAAAGATAGATATAGAGTGACAGCCAGATAGACAAATAGAAATCTCTTATCTGTGTGTTAACTTCCCAAATGCCTACAGTAGCCAGGACTGGGTCAGGCTGAAGCCAGTAGCCAGATACTCAATCTGGGTCTCCTGGCTCCAGATCAGCTCAGCTCTGGCCGGTGGGGCCATTTAGGGATAAGGCAGCAGATGCAGCATCTTTCTCACTGTCTCCCCTCTCTCCTTAATTCTGCCTTTCCATGAAAAATAAATAAATCTTGATAAATAAGGTTTAATTTTCATGGAAAGGCAGAGTTACAGAGAAAAGGAGAGACAGTGAGAGAGCTCTTCCATCTGCTGGTGCACTCTCCAAATGGCTTTAATAGCTGGAGTTGGGGGTCCAAAGTCAGGAGCCAAGCACTTTTGGGTGTCCACATAGGTAGAAGAGTCCAAACACTTGGGCTATCTTTTCTTGCTTTCCATGCCAGCAGCAGGGAGCTGGGGGAGCCGGGACTCAAATAGGCTCTGCAGGCAGAGGCACATGCTATGCCATGGTGCCAGCTCCAAGTGGTATCTTAACCACTGTACCTAACACCTACCCTTCACTCAAGTTTAGAAACTTACTTTGGTTATAAGCAATTCAGACAGCTCAACCCTTTACAGAGAAGTTATACTACTTGATATATGGATAATTGAGGTTTTATTTATATGCTGTGCATGTTTGTTAGGTCAGAAACAAAACAATTGGTGAAATACTGGCAAAATAACATTAATTTCTATTTCTAGTCCTAAATTTCAAGGAGATCATAGTGTTATTACTTTGAAAAATCATCTTGAGGTGTAATACAGTAACATCCAACTTATGAAAGCACCTTTGAAACAGTTGATTTCTGTGCGATTCTGTGAGCCCAGGTCACCCTGTATTGTCTGCATGTGCCCTTGGGGTTCCTTTGGCTGGGCCACCTCTTGGGATCACAGGTAGGAGGACTTCCCTCCCTGGGCAGCATCCTGGAGTTCCATTGTTTGCTTTGAGTGTCTGCAGGCTTTGCTGACCTTCTGTGTCATCTGCTTGTGGGTTTAGCAATTTATGTATTTTCAGTTTGCAAGTAAAGTGTGATTGAAGTGGGACTTCCCAGAGAGGGTACAGTGTAGTTTTGGGGAGGGTGTCGAATAGACAATTCATGTTACCTCTTCACCTGGATGGGACCCGACCATAGGACGTGCCGCTTGTCGCTGTGTTCATGTTTAATACTCGCTCTGTGGATAGCTAGAAACACAGGTGGGAGCAACAGTTACTTCTCAAAGTGTTTTTGTCCATCATGGAGGCTCATGACTGGATGTCTCAAATTTGTTTTCAGTGAACAGCCTGTCCCGCTCCAAGTATTGTTAAGCCAGGAGGCCCACTTGGAATCCTGCACCAACCCAGAGTTTGGAGCCAGTTCTTTCTTCCACTCACCTGCTTCCTGCCATGAGCCACATTCATCACTCTTCGCAGAGTCACCTGCCCCATCAGCCCCACAGCACCGCTCTCCCAGTAGATCTGCCTCGAAGCTTCTGACTTCAGTGGAGGTGGACAGCAGTGACCACTCTGCAGTCCACAGACAGGGTCTCTCCAAAACCCCAGAGAGGACAGAGAAGACATCTCCTCCTGGCTGGGTGCCATCAACTGCCTCAGAGGGGAAGCCACAAGGCCACAGGGATGACAACGGCTGCAGCAAGTTCCCTCCACAAGAAGGAAGAAGCATTGCTCAAGACCTGATGCTCCAAGAAAAGAGGGAGCCCACTGACCAGACTCTGGTGATACCTGGACCGCATCCCACTGCAACAGCTTCCTCTGAGAAAGATGGGCACCCTTTGGGTTCCTCAGCTCAGCCCAGCCTTCCCCCATACAGGGCCTGCCACACCATATTGCCTGCTGCTGCTTCATCTGTGCTTCACTCTCCTGATGCTGTGCAGAAAGCTAACCATTGTATCCAAGCCCAAAGCCCCCAAACGCCATTGACTTCAAAAGTTGACAGAGGCAGTGAGGGGCCCTCCAGGCCCGACTTTCCCAGCACCAAGGGACTTGTCCGCTCTCTGACAGAGCAGTTCCAGAGGATGCAAGGTGCCTCCACAAGGGACAGTCCAAGTTCCCAGGAAAGACATTTGCCAAATAGTTTAAAAAAGAACTCTTCTCCCTCTGACTTGAAGCCTCTTTTTGTACAGGATCAAGGCAAAGGCCACGGCCCTTGGGCAAATCAACAACCCTCTCTGGACGGTAGGGACAGACTGCCTTCCTGGGAAGACCCTGCTGACCATCATTTTCTTGCCACGAACTCTGGACTGCCTAATGGTGAAACTGCTGGGGGAGGCCAACCTCGGTTGGCAGAGTCAGGTACACATCAAGGGAAGCTGTCCCAAGTAAGAGATGCTAGGCCTAAGGAGCCGGGCAGTAGTATCGACTTGGGGTCTTCCTTGCCTCTGGACTCCTGGGTGAATGCCACCAGGCTGTGTGATTCTCAGCTTAAACATGGGGTTCCTGAGCCAGGAATTATGTCTTCCTCCCACAATTCCCATACATGTGTAACCTATTCAGAGAGAAATCATATCCTTTTGCATCCACATTGGAACCAAGACACGGAGCAGGAGACCTCAGAACTGGAGTCTCTCTACCAGGCGAGTCTTCAGGCTTCTCAAGCTGGATATCCTGGATGGGGGCAGGAGGACGTAGCCTGGCACTCACTTAGCCAAACAGGTAAGAGTTCAACGAGGGGTAGCGGGAAGCAGAGGCCAACGTATAAACTGACAGTAGGATGATGAGGTGAGAAGAGGAGTGCAGATATTATTTATTCCTAGCTTAGAAAGGAGTAGTGGAACTTATGATTTTATTCAGAAAGTCTTCAGGACAAGAAGTAGACATTTCTGTAGCCACAGTGGAGAATGAGGAACCAATTCTGTCCAAAGAAGCAGAACATGAAATATTTGCTCATGGTTTCTCCAGTATGCAGTTCTAAAGAATGATTTATGGGTTTATAGGTCTCGGAGAGTGACTAGCAAAAGTCGGGGGAGGAGGGAGACTGAGAGGAAGAGTCATCCTTCCCTAGTTTAGGAACTGAACCAGATTCAACCTATAACTTCCCCTCCACACTGAACATAGCAGACATGGCAGACGTTCAGTGAACTCACAATTGGGAGTACTTAAACATTTGTTGTCTGTAAGCAAGAGATCAAAAATATTACAAAAAGTGTCATCCTTCAGCTGGGTATAAAGTGTTCTGTGTTGGGGCCAGGCAGTGTCTTAAGCTGCCACCTGCAATGCCAGCATCCCATATGGGTGCCATTTCACATTTTGGGCAAGTCTCCATGGGGCATTTCTAGATCACACTGAACCAACAATATTTAGACCTCCTCTTATCCTTTCAGGATGTGCTAGGTTTGATGTTGGTGGAATTTTTAAAGTAGTTTTCCTGTAGGTTGGTCATTCATTGAGTCCCTTCAGAGGACAGTGAAGATTGCATCCTACGGCTCAGGTGCCTATCATGAAATTAGTTCTGGAAATTAAAGACATGATAAATGTTTGTAACTTAGATGATACATGTCACTTCTGCACACAAAGGCCGAACTTGGATAAGATATAATATTCCAGAGACAAGTTTTACCTGTGAAATGAGAGTTCAGTGATTTTGTTTCAGATATATTTCAATTCTAAAATGTTACGTATGATTCAAGTGGTCACAATAGACAAGGTTGGTACAGTCCAAAGCCAGGAGCCAGGAACTCCTGGGTCTCCCATGTTTCAGGAACCCATGCACTTGGGCCCTCTTCTGTTTCATCCCCAGGCGTTTTAGTAGGAGCTGCTTCTGCAGCTGAGCCACCAGCCTCAAACCAGCACTCTAAGGTGTGCCAGTGTCCCTGTAGGCAGCTTGAGCAGCTGCGGCACTGTACTGACCCTGAAAGCTGGAGTTAGCTTCCTAGTTTCTTCATTGGTATTAGAACCACTACCTTTCCAGAAAGCTACTGAAAATAACTGAGATTTTAGTATTTTTATCAACAAAGTTATTCTTCAACTAGATAGACATGAGAACTTCAAGGCAGTCATGAAAAATGTACATCATCTTCAGTTCTATTTTCAACAGTGTTTTTGAAGTATTTGCTGATGAAAAATTCCTTCCTCTGTCTCTCTGACTCTTTCTCTGTGTCTCCCTTCTTCATCATGATCTTTTTCCCCAATAAACAATTGTATTCCTAAATCATGGGGAATGAAGCATTGGACAGAAGTTCTTCTCTCCTTCTCTGTGTATATCTGCATTTCCAATAAAAAAATAAATCTTTAAAAAATTATTTTACGATAACAGTTACATAAGCTCTGGAATTTCCCCTCCTCCAATTTTCTTCCCCTACCCCACCAACTTCCCCTCTATTGTTACAATGCATAGTTCCATTGCTTCTCAGCCTTTTGGTTAAGATCAAGTGTACAATGCATAATCCTTCATGAACACTTGTAAGTCCATTATTCTGCCATTTATGTGTATCCTAAAATTGTAGGTATTCTCCATCATTTTTTCAATTAGATTTTTTATTTTGAAAGACAGAGTTACAGAGATAGAGAGGGAGAGACAAGAGAGAGGACCTTCCTGCTGGTTTATCCTTCAGTTGGTGACAGCTTTAGAACTGGACCCGGCTGAAGTCAGGTGACAGGAATTTCTTCTGGGTCTCCCATGTGGGTCTGAGGGGCCCAAACACCTGGACGGTCCTTTATTGCTTTCCCCAGCTCATTAGCAGGGAGCTTGGTTAGAAGCATAACACATGGAATATGAACTGGAATATGAGCCCATGTATGATGCTGGCATTTTAGGTGGCAAATTTAAACACAGTGCCACAATACCAGTTACAAAAGGTAAACTTAGACAGAAACAGAAACAGAAATGTATTGGCTATGGACACACACTTGGCCTGTCAAACATAGATCAAGGACATGTAGAGTATCCTAATGGAAGACTTCATCCATCAGATGGGGGTAGCTTTTTGTGTCAGTATCCAGTTTAGAAGAGCTCTTTTCAAGCCTGGCATAATGGCTCAATTGACTAATCCTCCACCTCCAAGTACCAGGATCCCTTATGGATGCTGGTTCATTTCCTGCATGCTCCACATCCCATGGGGCTCTCTGTTGCCTGGGAAAGCAGTAGAGGATAGCCCAAAGCCTTGGGACCCTGCACACAGGGAGACCTGGAGGAAGCTGCTTGCTCTGGCTCTGGATTGACCCGGCTCCGGCCGTTATGCCAATTGGAGAGTGAACCAGCATTTGGAAGATCCTTCTCTCTGCATATCTGACTTTCCAATAAAAATAAATAATTCACTAAAAGCAAACAAATTAAAAAAAAGCACTCCCCCCACCCTTTTGTATGTTAAGGCATATTTTTTTATTGGAAAGTCAGATTTACAGGGAGAAATATCTTCCATCTGCTGGTTCACTCCCCAACTGGCTGTATCAGCTGGAGCTCAGTTGGTTAATCCAAAGTCAGGAGCCTTCTCTAGGTCTCCCATGCTGTTGCAGGGACCCAAGGCTTCAGTCTGTCTTCTACTGCTTTCCTAGGCCACAAGCAGGGAGCCGGATGGGAAGCGTGGCCTTCGGGATTAGAACCTGTGCATATATGGGATCCCAATGCGTAAAAGAAAAGAACTTTAGCTGGTAGGCTACAACACTGGGCCTGTTTCCTAACCTTTAAAAAAAAATTTTCAGCAAGACAACACTTAGTGGTTATTCAGCATTTAAGTGATTCAGAAAAGGTAATGGGGAGAAATAAAAGACCATTATATATGTATAACAGAAGATTACTAAGTGGGACAATCAAATAGAATTACATTTTAATTCTGGTTAAAATACTAGTTGCCTGTCAACCCTAGGACTTAGTTTTCCTGGTTTATAATATGAGAAAGTTTGATTCATTTTTTACTATATTCCTTCTGAGCTAGACTAGCTATAATTGTTTCCTTTGTCACCATGGATTATCTAAAAAATCATTGTGTGAGGGAATTCCTGTGTTTGTGTTATCAGTCTTGGGCCCAAGTTTGGCCATAGCTGATCATGCTTACAAAGATGAAATGAGGCGGGCCCGGCACGGTAGCCTAGCAGCTAAAGTCCTCTCTTTGAATGCACCAGGATCCCATATGGGTGCCAGTTTTAATCCATGCAGCCCCACTTCCCATCCAGCTCCCTGCCTGTGGCCTGGGAAAAGCAGTTGAGGACGGCCCAAAGCCTTGGGACCCTGCACTCATATGAGAGAGCTGGAAGAGCTCCCGGCCCCTGGCTTAGGATAGGTGCAGCTCTGGTTGTTGGGGTCACTTGGGGAGTGAATCATCGCATGGAAGATCTTCCTCTCTGCTTTCCCTCCTCTATATATATATCTGAGTTTTTGCAATAAAAATAAATAAATCTTAAAAAAAAAAGGAAATGAGGCAAGACAGGGACATTGAGCCTAGAGTTCTCCAAGAGCTGTGATCTGAGACCCCAGAGAACTGCAGGCATTGCTTCTAAATTCTAGGAGTTTGTCCTCTCTTGGATTCAGGGATGTGTAGCTGTCACTGCGGAGCGCATGTTGGTGTGCTCTTAGTTGACACCCTGAAAAACAACAGCTTCAGCTTCTGTTTGTTTTCCATCTCAAGGCTCTGCCGATGGCGTGCGAAGGAGGCTTCATTCTGCCCCTGGTCCTGGTCTCTCCAAGACCCCAACAGCAGAAATGGAGCTGCGTCCTCATGAAGCCAGCACAGCACCTGTGGCCCAGGTATCAGCCTTGGGTGCTGCAGGTCTGGACCTGGGAATCGGGGGTTGGGTGTTGTGGGGGGAAAAAGTGCGGAGGTCGGGTTGGTGGTAAGGCAGAGGCGTGGTCATGTGGAGCTATCGAAAGAGAACAGACCTAAGTTTGGGCTTCTTTGAAGGAGAGGGGTTTGCTATGTGGTCCCTGCTTTTCAAATACACCCAACGCAGCTATTTACCTGTAAGTCTCCCCCTCTTCTTTCCCAGATCCCTGAGGACAGTCTGTGGGAGAATGACAGATCTGGTGTTATGTGTCTGCTTGTGTGTGTCTGTGTGTTTGAAGGCTGCCGCTTGCCGAGGCCTCGGCAGGGAGTGTGGGGAGGATGACCAGTACAGTGCAGAGAACTTTCGCCGCATCTCACGCAGTCTCAGTGGCACCGTTGTCTCAGAGAGGGAGGAGGCTCCAGTCTCTTCCCACAGTATTGTAAGTAGAATTAGGGTCCCTCCATTCAGGTCGCTCTCATTCTTACTAGGTAAATATACAGTGTCAGATTCAGGGGCAGGGAGAAATGAAAGGTTGTTGCCGTGTGCACTCAGCAGCATGAGGACCCTGTTTTTATTTTGTTCACATGCATTTAACTGGAACCCAGAGGAATGTTTCTTTCCTATGGCACTTTTGAAAGGATTCTTAATAGCCTTGAGGGAATTTGAGAAGCAGAAGCTTCTGATTGGGTCAGCACGCAGATGTATTAATCAGAGGAAGAAGGGAAGAAATAGGGTGATGTATTGTTTTACTTTTTCCTCCCCAGTATTTGTTTGAGTGGGGTTCAGTGTGTGTGAAGCATGTACAGTAGCAAGAAAAGGAGACTGTTTTAACATCTTGCTGAGTGTAGGTCTTTGGCCAAGTGGGGAGGACACCAGTTGGTTCTGGCTCCCAAGTCCAGATTTCTGTTAATGTAGACTCAAGTCCTGGAGTTCTTGCCAAAAAGCATGAGAGACCTGGGATCATGAGATTTGCCAGCTCCCACCTTAAGCCTGCCTCTGCCTGCCAACCTACCCTCCACCGTTGCTTTCCTGTTGTTGGCATTTGAGAAGTGAGCTGTTACATGGGGGCTTTCTCTCTCTTCCATACTGTCTTTCTGTCTCTCAAATACATAGATTTGTGGAAAAATTAAAATAAATTAAAAAAAAAATCTCCCTTCTTGAGACTTTCTATATGGCACTAAACCATAATCTGTAGGCTTATGAAAACCCTGACTCTTGTGGCCATGAGAAGGAGAGACAGAGAGGACACGATTTCCCATCTGCTGGTTCTCTTCCCAAATGGTTATAATAGCCAGAGCTGAGCTGATTGGTCCAAAAACTTTCTGAGTTTCCCACATGGATGAAGATTCCCAAGGATTTGGGACATTCTTTCTTACTTTCCTAGGCCATAAGCAGGGCGCTAGATGGGAAGTAGAGCAGCCGGGACTCCAGCCATCATCCATATGGGATGCTGGCACTTGAAGTTGGAGGATTAGTCTGTTGAGCCACAGCTCTGATGCCAAATAAAAATGAATCTTAAAAAAAAAGTATGTAGTAGGTAAAGGGACCGAAGCATATATTAACTAAATTACATGCTCACTTGTTATGCTGGGATTTGAGTCCAGTAAGGGGAAATAATGAAGTGTGTTGACCATTGAGATTGGAAAAAATATAAACGAGGGATCAGATCATGGTCAATAGAGAGAGCCCTGTATGTCATAAAAAGAAATTTAGAAGGGTACAGAGACGTAGACATTGAAGAGCCAATGGGACATGGCTCCTTCTTGGCTCAATTTGAATCAAAGTTGATTCTCATGTTTTATGAGTTTGTAACAATGTAGTTCAGATAATGTGTACTTTGAGTTTGGGATATATTTAATGTGAGGGGAGATATCTGGTAGGCTTTCTTTCATATGAGACTTAAGAGTTTGAAATTAAAACTTGAGGATCTGGGCTGGCATAGTGGTACAGGCAATTCAGCTGCTGCCTGCAACACCAGTTTCCCATGAGGGTGCCAGTTTGAGTCTCAGCTACTCTATTTCTGATCCAGTTTCCTGTTAATGTCACTGGGAAGGCAACAGAAAACGGCCCATGTCCATAGGCTCTGGCCACTAATGTGGGAGACCCAAATGGAGTTCCAGACTTTTGGCTTGGCTTGGCCCAGCCTTAATGATTTTGAACATTTCGGGATGAACCAATGGTTGGAAGATTTCTATTTCTTTTTCTCTCTCTCTCCCTCTCACTTTCCCTCCCTCTCTATGTAGTTCTGCCTTCCATCTTAATAGATACCAGCAACTAGGACTCAAACTGGTGCTTATATGGGCTCGTGGCATCATCACCTGCAGTTTAATCTGATGCGCTACAATGCCAGCAACCAATCCTGGAGAGAGGAGAAAGATAATAAAAAACAAATGATACAACCTCAGGCAGTGGTAATTATGGCAAAGAAAGATAAAACAAGGCAGGAAAATAAAGAGTAAAGACTTAATATGGGGCCCAGTACAGTAGCCTAGCAGCTAAAGTCCTCACCTTGAATGCTCTGGGATCCAATATGGGTGCTGGTTCTAATCCCAGCAGCCCTGCTTCCCATCCGGCTCTCTGCTTGTGGCCTGGGAAAGCAGTCGAGGATGGCCCAAAGCCTTGGGACCCTAACCCCTTGTAGAAGACCCAGAAGAGGCTTCAGGCTCCTGGCTTAGGATTGTCTCAGCTCCACCCATTGTGCTCGCTTGGAGAATGATACAGTAGATGGAAGATCTTCCTCTCTGTTTCTCCTCTTCTCTCTCTATCAGACTTTCCAATAAAAATAAAATAAATCATTAAAAAAAGATTTAATAGTGGCTTTTGTCAGGCTAGCCTAAACTCTTTTTTTTAAGGATTTTTTTTTATTTTTTTGAGTTACAGAAATAAATGGAAAGACAGAGAGAAAGATCTTCCATGCAATGAGCCACACTCCAGATGGCCGCAATGGCTGGGGCTGGGTCAGGCCGATACCAGGAGCCAAGAGCCTCCCTCATCTGGGATCTCCTGCATAAGTGTCAGGAGCCAAGCATTTGAGTCTTCTGCTGCTGGTTTTTTTTTTTCCAGGTCATTAGTGGTAAGCTGGAGCTGGATTATAACTGGGATAGCTAGGACATGAATGCTCGCATATGGGATACCAGCATCACAGTTGGTGGCTTTACATGCTATACCACAATGCCAGCTCCAGGGCTAAATCTTAAAATATTTATTTATTTGGAAGAGAACTCCCATATGCTTTTCAACCCCTGAATGACTCGGGCACCTGAGGCTGGTTCAGAGCTTGCAGCTGCTGGGAACTTTGTCTAGTCTTCTTTGTGGGTATCAGGACACCAGCTATCGAAGCTATCCACGCTGCCTTGCGCTATCTGTGTCAGTGGGCAGTTGGATGCAGCATTAACAGGACCCAGACACTTTTCATGTGAAATATGGCTATCTTGTTGTTGTTTTAAAGATTTATTTATTTTTATTGCAAAGTCAAAATTACCGAGAAGAGGAGAGACAGAGAGCATCTTCTGTCTGTTGATTTCACTCTTCAAGTGACCGCAATGGCTGGAGCTGAGTTGATCCGAAGCCTGGAGCCAGGAACTTCTTCCAGGTCTCCCACATGGGTGCAGGGCTGTCCTCGACTGCTTTCCCAGGCCACAAGCAGGGAGCTGGATGGGAAGCGGGGCTGCTGGGATTAGAACCAGTGCCCATATGGGATCCCGGAGCATTCAAGGTGAGGACTTTAGCTGCTAGGCTACTACACTGCCGGATTTCCATTTTTTTTTTTAAGATTTATTTATTTTTATTTGAAAGGCAAGTTCATAGAAGGACACACACACACACACACACACACACACACACACAGGGAGTAAGGAAGGGAGAGAGGGGGAGAGAGAGGGACAATGATCTTGCATCTGCTGATTCACTCCCCAAGTGGCTGTAGCAGCCAGAGCTCAAGCAATTCAGTCAGGAGCTAGGAGCTTCTTCTGGATCTCCTACGTGGATGTTAGGATTTGAGCCATCCTCTGCTGTTTTCCTAGTCTATAACTGGGGAGCTGGGATGGCAGTGGAGCAGCAGATTCTAGAACCAGCTGCTCATACTGGATGCCAGTGCCATAGGCAGATTAGTCTCTTGAACCACTGTCCTGACCCAGAATATGGCCATCTTTTTTTTTCTAAAGGTTTATTTACTATTATTTTTTTAATTGGAAAGGCAGATTTACAGTGAGAAGAAGAGAAAGAAAGGAAGATCTTCCATCTGCTGGTTCACTCCTGAAGTGGCCGCAACAGCTGAAGCTGAACTGATCTGAAGCCAGGAACTTCTTTGAGATTTTCCACGCGGGTGCAGAGTCCCAAAGCTTTGGGCCATCCTCCACTGCTTTTCCAGGCAACAGGCAGGGAGCTGGGTGGGAGTTGGAGCCCATATGGGTTATTGCAATGTGAGGATTTAGCCACTATGCCGCTGTGCCAGGCTCAAATATGGCCATCTTAATTGCTAGGCTATCTGCCTGTTGCTTGGACTTAATTGTGTTCAGGTGGTGGGGGACATTACTTTTCTAGAAGTGACATTTTGTCAGAGAACCTGGTTATTAAGGTTTGAGCTGTGGGAAGAACATTCACAGTAATACAAATAATAAATTTGAAAGTCCTTTTATGAGTTTGTGTGTTTGAGAAGCATTAAGAAACTTAAAATATAAAATCATCCAGCAGAGTAAGATGGTCTGTGAGAAGAATCAGAAGTGCCATCTCACACAAGATCTTACTGTCCATCCTAAGGAGGGGGAGTGGCTAAGATCTAGGAAGATAAGACTTAACCCTGTTGCCACACTGCAGGTGGGTTAAAGTCTTCAGGTAGAAATGAAAGTATTTGGTAACAAACTATTTTGGGTGCAAGTAGGAGATCAAGGGCAATGTTCCTATTTGAGTCTTGGAGCTTTAGAAAAATGTGGTGCTAGGAGGAATTTTTTTTCCATTTTAGACATTAGATTTTCAGATATTAAAGACAATATTTGTGAGTCTTTACCACAAAATGAGTAGCTAATATTGTTTGGAGCAAATCATAGCATTAGTGAATGCAAACTTGAGAAGCAAAGAGGACACTGTAGATTCTAGCATTGGCAGGAAAGATAATGGTGTAATCTGTTGACCCAGTGTTCTGCATTTAAGCAAGTACATTTTAGTTTTCAATTGTCAAAACATGTATAGGGCCTGGCATGGTAGTGTGGTGGCTGAAGTCCTCATCTTGCATGTGCTGGGACCCCATATGGGTGCTGGTTCATGTCCTGGCTGTTCCACTTCCCATCAAGCTCCCTGCTTGTGGCCTCGGAAAACAATTGAGAATAGCCCAAAACCTTAGGACCCTGTACCCACATGTGAGACCTGGAAAAGGCTCCTGACTTTGGATCGACTCAGCCCTGGCCATTGTGGCCACTTGTGGAGTGAGTCAGCAGATGGAAGATCTTTCTCTCTGTCTCTCCTCTCTGTAGATCTGATTTTCTAATAAAAATGCATAAATCTTTTTAAAAGCATACTATTGTTCTATACTCTGTAGGGAGTTTCCTCTGATGTCTCTGATTTCTTCTTTATTTTTAATTTCTGTCTCACTCTGTAAATCTATTGCAGTCAGCTTTGAAGTGTTTGCTAAGGACTTGAGTGGTTGGATTTGGTGGTGAGGGCTATGAGGAAGACTGGTTAAAAGAGGAGGAGCTTGGTTTCCTAGAAGGGCTGATGGAGGTAGTTACTAAGTAGTTTGGGTCCCTTTCCAGAATGAAGTGTATTTATGCTCCGGTTCCCTCCATTTCCTTTTGCTTGCCTCACTGTGTTTGCCCAACCACATCCTGCTATTTGTTAATCATCATCTCTGTTTTTTTGTCTTGTCTCATTATAAGGATTCATCAAACATGAGGAAAAAGCCTTTGGAAACCTGGCACCGTTGTTCCAGCTCCTCTTCCCTCCCTGTCATCCATGACCCTCCTGTGTGTCTCCTTGGTCCCCAACTCTATCCTCCCCATCCACAGTTCCTGTCCCCAGATGTCCTGATGCCCAGCATGGCAGGGGAGCCCCATAGATCCCCAGGTAACTTCCTGCCCCATCTAACATTACAAATACATGCCAGGAGCCTCTGAGGATCAAATTAGTTTACATCTCGGGACCTGGGGTATCCCAAAGAGGGGAATGATTTGAGGCTATAAATTATGCTTTTAAGATTTAAGTGTTGATCTAGATGAATTATGATTAAGTAATTTCTTAGACACCATGGTTCTTAGACCAGAGGGTCTATAGCAGCACCCTCTGGGAACTGTCTATTCATGAGAAATAAGTGCTTCAGTAATGATAGGATAAGCTTACAAGTGACCAACACGGAGGTAATATCCAGTCTGTGGGATCTCCCCCGCCTGCCACCACAAGCAGAGAAGTACCATCTCCATCAGCCAACTTTCTCTTCCATCCACTGAGTGTCAGCTAAGGAGTGGCCTAGGTCCGCAAGCGTGGCAGATGTTGGGCCTGTGGGGCCTGTGAAATCATGTGATCTGACTCTACCATGGCAAACACAAGTGCGACTCAACGATCAATGTATTTACAGCAGCATGATTTTTAACTTGATAATTTTGTATGGCCCACACATGATGCTGTCAATATTCAAAGGGCCCTTGGCAGAAGAGAGGTTCTCTGCCTCTGGTAGAGGAGTAGAAGCAGCACTTGGGAGATTTGGAAACACCTTGTACTTGGGGTCTTGTACCATGTGTACAGGCCCGGACAATCGTATGGAAGGTGGGTAGCATCCTTCTGGCATTGAATTTTCATGGCAAGATGTTCTGTATTTCCCCCATCATGGGCTGAATCTACAGTGTTCTAAAAGGGAAAGAGCAAGTACTACTGGTATCCAGGGATGCTGCTAAACATCGTGCAGAGCACAAGTCATTCTTTTGCTACCCCCACAAAGAATTAGAGCCCAAGATGCCAGTAACATCAAGGCTTAATAAATGTATAGAAAAGGTATTCCCTACTGTATATCTGTTAGGAGGATTGGGAAATGCAAGAAGAGACCTCAGATTGGGCATGAGGAGATCTCTGTTGTAAAGGAAAGATGAATGCAATTTTAGAGTGGTGGCTCTAGCAGCAGCAGCAACTTTTTTATAATGGGAGAAAAAAACATTTGTTATATTAGGAAGCTGTGTGTGTGTGTGTGTGTGTGTGTGTGTGTGTGAGAGAGAGAGAGAGAGAGAGAGAGAGAGAGAGGAAGCGTTATAGTGGAGCAAGGAAAAAGTACGATAGCATCCAGAGATTGGTTTCACTTGCCCAGGTTGGAGGTAAGAAAAATTTTTATGTAAAAATACCTTAAATGAAATCAAATGCAAAAAATGTATGTTTTCCGAAACCTTGTGTGTATGCTCTTAGAGGAATGGGGAGGGGGCATAGTAGCCAGAAATGGTCCTCTGGGAAAGAAAATGGCTTTTTGAAGATGCTCAGTGTTTGGGTTCTTTTCACTCCACAGGAACTTCGAGGAGTGTCCAGCAGTTTTTGGCTGTGTGTGACAGGGGTGAAGCTTCCCAAGGGGTCAAGTACACAGGAAGGACTTTGAACTACCGGAGCCTCCCCCATCGCTCCAGAGCAGATGCCTCCTGGGGACCCTGGGCCGAGACCAACCAGCGTGCAGAGGCCAGATTCCTGACTGCTGCTGAGTGCAAACCTCAGCTAATCTACACTGCCACACTACCAGAAAGAAGCCAGGGCCTGCAGGTTCCTCACGCTCAGTCCTGGGGAGATCTTTTCCATTCATCTTCCCTGCCTCCTGTCATTGCCCCTGTGTCTTCATCATCTAGCAGTCCTCATGTACCCCTTAGAACAGCTTGGGATGCAGGTCCTGTTCCCGGGTTCCGGGCCCCTGGTCCTCGCAGAGTAGATATGCCACCAGATGACGACTGGAGGCAAAGCAGTTATGCTTCCCAATCTGCATACAGGAGGAGAGGGGCCGAGGGGTTTCTGTTTGTTCTCACAGATGCCCCAGGAAGAGAACAGAACAGGGCTAGAGCCCTGCAGCACAGCAGGTGGTAAGGGTCACCGCTGTCCTTTCCTGGGGCCACCCCTTTCTGCTGTGGCACAGAGGGTACCCTGCATCCTTGCCAGGATTGTGCTATTCTCACCTCAACTGACAATTGGCAATTTCTCCTAGGAATGCCAGGAACCTTTAAACTTGAGACCTGGCTCTTTAACGAAAGATATTTGAAATTCCAACTCCCATGTCCCCTAGCAAAAGGAAGCAGCTGCTGTTTAAGACTTTATTTGAGTCACTTTAAAGATTAATCTATAATATTACTCATGACACTAGCCATTCCTTGGGGTCTTGTCATTATTTTGTCCCTGGATATTCTATTCGCCCACTTTCACCTAAGCCATCATTACCTGTTCCCCCACTGTGTTCCCAACTTACATTTTCTTTGTCCGAACTACCTGACCTTTTCTCTGCTCAGCCCCATCCTTAGAGAGATATGTAGCCCTGGGGTTCTAGTGCTACCACATCCTTCAGGACAGCCCACCTGCCTGGGAGTTATGGCCTCTCTACCTTCCCTGTCTTCCTACACCTTAAACTTGGAATGCAGAGCTGCCAATATAACATTTGCCCTTCTGAACAGATGGAGTCAGGCACACTAACACACCCTCCTGTCAGCAGCAGAGCCATCACTGCCACTGCTCAGTCGCTGTTGTAAACCCTCAGAGTCAGCTGAACTATTTTAGGGCCAAACATACTGTTTTTTGTAAAGTATTTTTCATTAATAAATCTATAAGATAGTTCTATTTAATCCTTTGTCATTCTTCTCTTTTGTATGCGCTTGGTCTTTTTTCTTGGGGTGTGGAGGCCTGGACGTATAAATGAAATGGCTTTTGACTGGAGTGAAAGTGAGGGGCCGGAGGAACTGAAAAATACACACTCAAGGTGAGAGTTAGTGGGCCCTAAAATAGAGTGCCTTTTCTCGTCATTACTGCTAAAAGTATATTTCCTATCCCTTTCCTGCCAGAAGTACTCAGTACACAACACATCACTTAGGTCCTTCCTTCATTCCTTAGGGAGATTTCTTGGGGCTTGAACCTCCTACAAACTCCCTGCAAACCTATGTACATTTGGTATCTTCCCTCTACCTTACAGGTTTGTGATGTGTCACGTGTTCCTTTCTTTTTCTCTTCCCATGGCCACCTCCACCCGTTCCCCTTCTCCTGGGGAGCTTCCCTGCTTCTCCCTGCTTCCTCCTGAGAGCCCCTCCCCGCTGAAGTTACTCAGTGTGTTCCCTCTGCGAAGCCGGGTATCCTTTGTGCTTCCCTCTTATCCCAGCTCTCAGGGTCTTTGACACAAAGAAGAGGTAGCAAGTTTCTCTTTGAGACCTCTGGACTCTTCTTTTTTTTTTTTTTTTTTTAAAGATTTATTTATTTTTATTGGAAAGGCAGATACACAGAGAGGAGAGACAGAGACCAAGATCTCATGTCTGATGGCTCACTCCTCAAGAGGTCGCAACAGCTGGAGCTGAGCCAATCCGATGCCTGGAGCCAGGAACTTCTGGGTCTCCATGTGGATGCAGGGTCCCAAGGCTTTGGGCCGTCCTCGACTGCTTTCCCAGGCCACAAGCAGGGAGCTGGATGGGAAGCGGGGCCGCTGGGATTAGAACCAGCACCCATATGGGATCCTGACACGTTCAAGGTGAGGACTTTAGCTGCTAGGCTATAGTGCCAGGGCCTAGATCTGTGGACTCTTGCTTGTCTAATTATCACTGGACATTATAAGCGTATTCACTGCATTTGTTTTATTTGAGCAAGAGGATGAGTCCATCCTACTTGGATCCTTCACCATCAAGAAGCAAAAGCATTTTTTAAAGTTTGTGGAAAAAACCAAATTAAAAGATAAGTTAATTTTGACGCAAAAATTCTTAATTCCATGCCCACAAATAGCTTTCAGGAAGTTTGTAGAATATTTATATTATGAAAAAACAATGCATATTTTGAGCAGTTTTTCTTTTTGAAGATTTATTTATTTGAAAGGCAGAATGAAGAAGGGACAGAGCAAGTGGAATTTTCCATCTCCTGATTCACTCCCCATGCGGCCACAACAACTAGGGTTGGGCCAGGCTGAAGCCAGTAGCTTAGAAATCCAACAGGGTCTCCCAGATGTGAGACAAGGCTCAAACAGCTGGCCAGCTTAAATTTTCCTAGGTGTATTAGCAGCGAACAAGACTGGATGTAGAGCAGCTAGGACTTGAACCAATACTTACATATATTTTTGAAGATTTATTTATTATCTGAAAGGCAGAGTTACGTAAAAGAGATGTTCCAGCTACTAGTTCACACCCCAAGTGGCTTCAACGGTTAGAGCTGTGCAGATCTGAATCCAAGAGCCAGGAGCTTCTTCTGGGTCTCCCATGTGGGTGTATGGGAGTAGTTGAGCAGTCATTTGCTGCTTTTCCAAGCACATTAGCAAGGAGCTAGATCAGAAATGAAGCGGCTAGGATTTAAAGCGGCATCCATACGTGGTGTTGGTTGCTGCGGTCAGCCACTTTGCTACACTGTGGTGCCAGACCCCCAGTGCTCAGATTTGATGCTGGTGTCTCAGATGCTGGCTTAATTTGATGTGTTAAAATGCTGGCCCGATATTGGAAAAAAATGTTGCACCCAAATAATCTTAATTCCATTTTCCGTAAGCATTCCACCACCACCACCCCCTCCACACACTTTATTTGAAAGGCAGAGAAACACAAGGGCAAACAGATCTCCCATCCACTCCTTCCAAATTCCTTTAACAGCCAGGGCTGCACCAGGCCAGATCTTGGACCCTGGAACTCCACTGGGTCTCTCTATCACCTCCTAGGGAGCACATGGGCAGCTGGAGTGAAAACAGAATAGCTGGGACCTGAAGTAGGCACCTGGGGTCCCCAGCAGCAACTTCTCTGCTGTGCCAAATGCGCACCCCTCCACAAACTTCCTAAACTACATGTATACATAGATGCTGGCGGCTATGCTGGCCCCTGGTCTCTGACCCCAATGCTCCTGCTTTCAGGGATTTGCTAGTTTAAGGGATATGCTGCCTCCTATTATGTCATACTCGCATTCTTCCAATAGTTTCTCCTTCAGCTGTCAGTTCTTGTCCCTGAATGTCATCAGCCACCCAGGTCTTGAAAGCTTCCATAGGTTCCCCCAGGCAGATTGTGTGTGCACCGAAATTAGGAATCCATTTCCAATGTCCCAATTACTCCTCTACTTTTCTCCTGCATCGTCTGAAAAAAATCTAGCAGGAGGCTGTGTCTTTCTTGAGGTGAATTCTGCTTATCTGGACATCTGGTGGTGTCATCCTCACGCTTCCCCTTTATCTGTTTTGATATTAACTCTTAAAGCCTAGCCTGCTCTGGCTGCATCGCCCTCAGAGTCTTGACAATTCCAGACTCCAAGCACAAGGGCCAGAGTTCTTTTCTAAACTCCATTTTGAATGGGTCCCTTCTGGGCTCTCTAGAACCTATCATGTCTCCCATTGTCTTGTCCCGTCAACCCTTTAGTACTCAGATCCGGCAGATACGCTGGGATAGCACTGAGTGTTCTGTTAGCAGCACGATTCTGAAGTTTAATCACCTCTCCCCAATCTACGAGGAGGCTCATGGCAGCCGGTGGCATGTTCCCTTGCTTTCATTTATCAGGGCAACCAACTTCAGGCAACCGTCCCTGGCCCCTCACGCTCTTTTTTTTTTTTTTTGTCTCTGGACGCAAAGAATTTCAACCTGATCCCTTGGCCTCGTTCTGTGTCTCTCCCAGCCTCAGTAATTTTGCCCACGTCCCTAGAGCCTGCCCCGCTCCCGCCCCCGCCCGCGCGGTGCATGCCGGTCTCAGCCCCTCTGTAGGGAAAGAGGGTCCGCCATGTTCCCCGGCGGGGCCGCCGCTCGGCTCTGGTAGCCGCCGCCCCCGCCCCCAAACCCCGCCCGGCCTAGCGCCTAGCCGAGCCCCGGGCCCAGCATGGCCGCCCCGGAGCCGGCTCGGGCCGCACCGCCCCCACCCCCGCCCCCGCCGCCCCCTCCCGGGGCTGACCGCGTCGTCAAAGGTGAGAGGTGGACGAAGCCCTGGGGGCCTGGCCTGCCGAGCCGTGTGTGTGTGTGTGTGAGGAGTGTGAGGGCGGGCGGCCGGGAGACCGTCCCCTCGGGAGCGGGCCCGGAAGGGCGGGCGAGTGACTGGCTGCCTCCCTCGGGGAGTGGCCCCTGGGCGGGCCCCTGCTGGGCTGGGCGAGCTCCCGGGCCGGGGGTGAGGCGGCCGCCGCCCGGGAGCCCCCTCGCCCCGGCTCGGCCTGTCGGCGCGGCGCTCGGCGCGGCGCTCCGAGCTTCCTGCTGCACGACAGCTGCACTCCCGGGCCAGCTCGGGGCGATCGGCCCCCCGTGACAGCCCGCGCCCCGAACAGGCGCCCGCCGCAGGGTGCCCATCCCGCAAGAAATTGGGGGCAGGAGGTGGGTGCGTAGGGTGTAGGACGAGGATACAGGGTTGAGGCAGCCTCTGGGGGCCTATGGCTTCTGCAAGTGCAGGGTGGGAATGAAAAGCAGTATACAAAGAAGAAATAGGTGACAACCATCGTGGAGAGGGAAAGGTAGTAAGAGCTGTCCACGCTGGCTGGAAGGCATTCCTCCCTCTGCACAGGCACCTGCTGGGAGAGTCAGACGCTCTCGGGAGCCAGGGAGAGGTTAGCAGGTTAGAGTGGGGCAGCTGCAGCTGGGTGGCATGGGGCGCAGCTCTCTGGGGGAGCCCGTCAACTCCCCGCACCTGCCAAGTGATTGTCTTGCCTGTAAATCTGCCTGAAGGAATTGACATCATTGCAGAAGGGGTTTCAGTATCTGTAATACATTGACTTGACACAAGATCATTTTTAAAGTGATGTTTTCTCACATATATTGGCAGCGTTTGAGCAGGACTACTACTTCTTTTTTTTTAATCTTGACCCATTATTCCCATGAAAACGTTTTCAAACAAGAAAACTTTGTGTTTTTAAAAATTATTTTTGAAACATTTCAATCTGAGCTTCCTTGGATTCTTCCCAACATTGATTCGTGCCCAGGCTTCTCTTGATTGTTTTAGAAGTTGGTAGTTGAGCCAGTTAGGCCAGGTGCTAGAATGAGAAATCGCTTCCAAAGAGAGAGAGAAAAAAGTGGCAGTTGAGCCCTTCACTCTCTCAAGAAATCCTGGAGTTTTCTAGGGGTGGGAACAGGGAATGTTGGCTGCCTCTTCATTTCCTGACTCTGTCCTGTCTCTGTGCTGTGTGTTCATTTCCCTGGGTGCTTTTCCCTGTTAGACGGAATAACCAATCACATTCCTGAACAGGAAGTTTCATCAGCCTGGTGCTGGTGCATCTTCTTGTGTCTTGTCATATGTATGGTAATTTTTTCTGTTCTGCTTTAATGAAGTAAAAATAAGATTCCAAGCATAAGGCAGATAGATTCATTTAGGGCCCGAGTTGTGAGTCTGAAACACAGTCATATTAGCAGTTTGTTGGGATGGAATGGAAGTCATTGACTTAAATAGGAAGGAGCTTATGGTATGGAAAAGTAGAGTTATGTAAAGCGCTTGGTTATGCGCTTGGTGGAGGCAGCTTTGGTTTCCTTAGGGAAGTTGTTAGTGGCTTTGAATGCTTGATCTGGGCCGCATGTTTAGAAATAGTGGGTAGTGTGATAACTCCTTTTCACTCTTCATGGAGTCCAGCATCTCCCTGTTCAGTTGATGGGTACTCACCTTTCCTGTGGATTCAGAGTGACTTTTAAATTTCGCCTTTAGGCTTTTTGCCAAGAAGT